AGTACAACATCCATTCATGATAAAAATGTTCAACAAGGTAGGTCTAGAGGAAATATACCTCACATAATAAAAGGCCTTATATGAAAAATCCACAGTCAACATTTTACATAATAGATAAAAACTGAGAGTTTCCCCACTAAGGACAGGAACAGGACAGATGTATCTACTATCACCCCTTTTATTCAACATAGTACTAGAAGTCCTAGCCACAGTAATCAGACAACATAAAGAAACAAAAGGCAACTAAACTGGTAAGGAATAAGTCAAACTGTCATTACTTGCATTTGACATGACACTATACATAAAAAAACCCTAAGCACAGAGGTGGGCACCTGATGGGATGAGCACTGGGTGTTACACTGTATGTTGGCAAAATAAATTTAAATTTAAAAAAATCAAACGGGATCCCTGGGTGGCTCAGTGGTTTAGCACCTGCCTTTGGTCCAGGGTGTGATCCTGGAGTCCTGGGATCAAGTCCCACATCCGGCTCCCTGCATGGAGCCTGCTTCTCCCTCTGCCTGTGTCTCTACCTCTCTCTCTCTCTCTCTCTCTCTCTCTCTCTCTCTCTGTGTGTGTGTGTGTGTCTCTCATGAATAAATAGAAATAAAATATTTAAAAATAAATAAATAAAATTTAAAAATGAAACAAAACAAAACCCTAAAGACTCCACCACAAAGTCAGGTCATAGGATACAAAATCAATGTTCAAAAATCTATTGCATTCTTACACACTAATAGTAGAGCAGCAGCAAAAATTAAGAAAACAATCCCATTTACAACTTATAACTGCAACAAAAATAAAATACCTTCAAATAAACTTAACCAAAGACGTGAAAGACTTGTACTCTAAAAACTATAAAACGCTGATGAAAGAAATTCAAAATGACACAAAGAAATGGAAAGATACTCCATGCTCAAGAATACTATTAAAATGTCCAAAATGCCTAAAGTGATCTACATATTTAATGCAATTCCTATCAAAATATCAACATTTTTCAGAGAACTAGAACAAATAATCCTAAAATTTTTATGGAACTATAAAAAACCCTAAATAGCCAAAGCAATCTTGAAAAAGGTAAGTAAAACTGGAGGTATCACAATTCCAGATTTCAAGTTATATTACAAAGCTGTAGTAATAAAAAGTATGGTACTTGGCGTAAAAATAGACACATAGATCAATGGAATAGAACACAAACCCAAAAATAAACCCATAATATATAGTCAATTCGTATTTGACAAAGGAGGAATGACTATCCAATGAGGAAAAGTCACACATAGATCAATGGAATAGAACACAAACCCAAAAATAAACCCATAATATATAGTCAATTCGTATTTGACAAAGGAGGAATGACTATCCAATGAGGAAAAGTCTCTTCAATATATGTTGGGAAAACTGGACAACCACATACAAAGAAGGAAACCAGACCAGTTTCTATCACCATACACAAAAATAATCTCAAACAGAATAAAGACCTAAATGTGAGACCTGAAACCATACAAATCCTGAAAGAGAACACAGGAGGTAATTTCTTTAACCTAAGTTTTAGCAACATCCTTCTAAATATATCTCCTAAGGAAAGGGAAATAAAAGCAATAATAAACTATTGGGACTACACTGAAATAAAATGTTCTGTGTAGCAAAGGAAACAACAAAACTAAAACACAACCTATTGAATAGGAGAAGATATTTGCAAATGACATATTCAATACTGGATTAGTATCCAAAAATATATTTAAGAATTGATACAATACCCAAAAACAATCCAATTAAAAGATGGGTAGAAGATTTGAACAGATGTTTCTCCAAAGAGGACATACAGATGACCAACAGACACATAAAAAGATGCTCAAAATCACTCTTCATCAGGGAAATACAAATCACAATCACAATGAGCTACTGCCTCACATCTGTCAGAATGGCTGGGCTCAAAAACACATGAAAACAAGTGTTGGCAAAGATGTGGAAAAAAAGGAATCCTCTTACACTATTGGTGGCAGTACAAACTGGTGGAGCTACTGTGGAAAACAGTTGGGAGGTTCCTCAAAAAGCTAAAAATAGAACTACCCTAACAACCCAGTAATCACACTACTGGGTATTTACCCTCAAAATACAAAAACACTAACTGAAAGGGAAACATGCACCCCTACGTTTATTGCAGCATTATTTACAACAGCCAAGATATGGAAGCAATCTAAGAGTCCAACAATAGATAAATGAATAAAGATGTGGTGTACACACACACACACACACACACACACACACACAGGAATAGTATGGCTATTTGTGGCTTTCAGCCACAAAGAATAATGAGATCTTTCCATCTAAACACAGATGGAACTAGAGGGTATCAGGCTAAGTAAAATAAGTCATACGAAGACAGACAAATACCATATGATTTCACTTATATGTGGAATCTAAAACAAACAAAAAGCAGAAGCAGACCCATAAATACCATGAGAACTGACAGCTGCCAGAGGCAAGGAAGACAGGAGGATGGCAAATGAGTTAAGGGGACTGGAAGACTTCTGGTTACGGAATAAGTGCTGGTGATGAAAGGTACAGCATATAGACGATAGCTGATGGCATTGTAATAGTGTTGTGTGGTGTCAGATGGTAGCTACACTCATGGTGAGCACAGCATAACATACAGAGCTGTTGTAGAAGCAGAGCTGTAAAAACAAACCCTGAGGACATGGGGCTACATATTAAATAAGCCAGTCACAAAAAAAACACTCCACGATCCCACTTACATGAGGTATCAAATTAACAGAAAGAGTGGAATGGTAGTTTCCAGGAGCTGGGCAGAGGAAAATATGTGGAGTTATTACTTAATGGGTTTAGGAGGGTTACACAAGATTAAAAAGTTCTGAAGACTGGTTGCCAACAGTATAAATATATATACTGTGCACTACTTAAACGTGCACTTACAAATGGGTAATATGGTAAATGTTACATGTTTTTTTAACACAGTTAAAAAAAAGGTAACTTGAACATTACTTGTGCCACCTCATCTGGACCCTTGCTTCAGGGATATCAGCTGGGATGTGAGGGAAGAATTAAGATCATATTTGTGTCACGACAGAAGAAGCCTGATAATGTTCCATGTTTTGCTGTTAGAGCCCCATTAACATAGCAGTAATTTTATGAAAAAAGCATGTGTTCATGTTTTGGAAACTATCACCATGAATGTTCTTGTGAACATTCTATGTGAAGTTTCAACCAATTTCAAGGGTCTAGAGAAATGGTTCCCAATAGAATGCATTTCAAAATTTCTGTGGAGCTTTTGAAAAAGATATTTATTTCCACTTCTGGTAATAAAGACATCATGACCTTGACATTTCAAAATTCAATTTTTTTTTTTATTTATTTACGACAGTCATACAGAGAGAGAGAGAGAGAGGCGCAGAGACACAGGCAGAGGGAGAAGCAGGCTCCATGCACCGGGAGCCTGACGTGGGATTCGATCCCGGGTCTCCAGGATCGCGCCCTGGGCCAAAGGCAGGCGCCAAACCGCTGCGCCACCCAGGGATCCCGACATTTCAAATTTCAAAACAAAGTATTTTACCAGAGATAAAGAGAGGCATTTCATAATGATAAAAAAAAGTGGGTTTATCAGAGACAACAATCATAAATGTGTATGAGATAAACACAGTTTCAAAATATATGACACAAAAATACACCAGGAACAGCCCCAGTGGCCCAGCGGTTTAGTGCCGCCTTCAGCCCAGGATGTGATCCTGGAGACCTGGGATCGAGTCCCACGTCAGGCTCCCTGCGTGGTCCCTGCTTCTCCCTCTGCCTGTGTCTCTGCCCCTCTCTCTCTCTCTCTCTCTCTCTCTCTCAATCTCTCTCTCTCTCTCTCTCTCTCTCTCCCTGTGTGCCTCATGAATAAATAAAATGTTTAAAAAAAAAATACAGACACTAGGCCACACTACATACTTGCTGAATCTTAATCTCCAGAATAGAGCTAGGGCACTGTCATTTAAAAACAATATAAACAGGGCAGCCCGGTACCTCAGTAGTTTAGCGCCACCTTCAGCCCAGGGCCTGATCCTGGAGACCCGGGATAGAGTCCCAAGTCAGGCTCCCTGTATGGAGAAGCAGGCTCCCTCTGCCTGTATCTCTGCCTCTCTCTCTCTCTCTCTCTCTCTCTCTTTCTCTGAATAAATAAAATCTTAAAAAAAAAAAAAACACAACTACACGGGAATTCAAATGTGCACAACTGGTCAAGAACCACAGTTTTTTGACACAATTAAAAAATAAAAACAGGTAAATACTACTACTACTGCAGTTGGATTAACAAGACTTTCTTCTACAGGAGAATTTGACCTTTGGTTAACTTTCTGGTTCTTTTCTTCTAGAAGCTAGAAAACACAAGTATGTCAACTATATTGCAAGGCAACATATCACATAGAAAAAATAATTTGTGATTGGTAAGCTACATCTGAACTGGGAAGAGCTTTACGTGAACTATAAATAGCTGATGGAGATACATAGCTTTACGGTTCAGAGTGGGATAAGACATGTCCTTTGTAGTAAACCTCAAGATAGCCCACGGAGCTAGAACAAAAGGTATCTATTCCTAAGGGACATGAGGATGGTAAGCCACATTGTTTCCTGTGAATCTTACTACGTTAAAGTAAACTATCACTTTTGGGGAGCCAAAGATGGGTAGCTCCCAGAAGCTATGTGGACTTGGAAGTGCGGAAACAAACCTCTATCACCGGTGTGCTGGGAAACTATGGTTCCTGTCCTAATAGCCTTCTGAGTAGACCAGAGTGAACTATGGCCCAAAATAATCCTGTGAATCTGAATGTTTAGTTGAACCTAAGAAGACTCTTTAGTGGATGTCACAACTACCTTATCTTTGTGTTGTGGTTTAGATAATCATTGCTTCCGTGCCATACTCACGATCTCTAGGTTGACTTCTTAATCAAAATATTTTCCAATGATGTGTTTGCTAATGGGGGTTGGGAAGAGGAGGAATCCATTCTAACCTCCCAGTGATCTTGTGTATCCAGAATAGTACAATATTCTTTCTGTCGTGGTCGTTTTCCCTGCATCAATATGAGCCATAATTCCAATATTACGGATTCTGTTAGTAGGAAAATGAAGCACATAGTACAAGATGGACATTACTAAAAATGTAAAACCAAAATGTCTGTGCAATACAAATTTCAAAGCTGGTTAATATTTCAGGAATTTTTATAAGGCATAAAACCCAGATAAACAGAAAACGTATCCCTACCAAATTATTCTGACAAAACAGCTAACAAAAGAGTGAACTATCTTACAAATCTTTTATTTCTATGCTACTTTTATTTCTAATGCTGTTACTGCATTAAAAATACTTAGTATTAAATTGAGCAAAAAATAGCTTTTAAGATACATACCAACACCTATCTATAATTAACTATTATTTATAATTAGCTAGGGCAGAAAGCTGAATTAACAATGCTAAATTAAGCCTATGACAGAAACTCTTAACTTTTTAAGCAGTATACAGAAAAGAGTATATCAATAATAGTACTTACTTAGCTATGGGAGGACTGATGATAGAATGAAGAGATTTGATATCATTTCCAACTAAACCTAATGGAAAGAGGGTTATACATATATAAAAGTTTAAAAATTTTTCCCTTTACACATCAAAGAAGTAATTTTACACAAATACTATAACTACAATTAAAGAAAATTCCAAGCTAAATAAAACACTCATTTACCTAAAAATTATTTCCCTGTACTTCGTAAAGAAAAGGCAATGGAAAAAAAAAAAGAGAGAGAGAAAGAAAAGACAATGGATGATATAAGATACAGTTTTTAAAAGTCAATTTCTAGATCATATTTTTAGAAAAATATAAATTTACCCCAATATTTGCCACCCTCTATAATTCTGTAATAGACATAATAACAGATGTAGAATTAGAAATATTCATAGCAATAATCTTAAGGCCACAGCTAGTGAAACAAAGAAATATAAAATGCACAGTCCTATAGACCTACACTGTCAAGGCTTGAAGAGTTAAAGAGTGATCCCCATATCAGATAATAATGAATTTATGTACAATTTGAATTCTATCTTCCCTCAGTAATCCCAAGCACACAGTACCTTTAAAGATGGCCTGAGAGAAATCACTGAACAGGAGCTATAACAATCTAATACTTTTAAAAGGTCAAGTAGTATTTCTGGAATACAAAAAGCCCATAATAATCTACTCTGTGCTTATCATGTATTTTATTAATAATATTAAAGCAAAAATGCAGTTACACTTATAATTTTAAGCTATACCTTCCTACTATTTAAATCAGTTCTGCAAAATTTCTCTAATAAGAACAGTTCTACTGTATTTTGAAAACCTCATGGCAGTTTTAAGACTTACAGGTGATCTGCATGGCTATAGATAAATCTGCATGACAAAATATAGAAATACAGATACAAACCAATAATGCAGGCCATTCAATTCACATGCTATTACAACTCACACAGCCAATCAGTATTTTTACTCTATGATTCTCACATGACAAAGATGGTAATGAGAACAGCCACATAATGAAACCAGTTTCAAGTGTCCCATGTGCTAGCTTACTTCAAACCCAGGAGGACCATTCAGAATTAGCTCTTCAAGCATCAAGCTTTTAATAGCCATTTTACCTAATACAAACTGTCCCAGATAAATATTTAACCAACTACTCTTAAGAACTTTCAAAATAAATTATTTAGGCAAACCTCTATTGACAGAAAATACTTTTGTATAAAAACCGGAAACGAACTAGACAAACAGTATTTTGCAGCAAGAGCACTCTACAAGTAGACAGCCCTCTAAACTCCTGAGGCAGCTGCTAAAGCCAGCAACACTTCTCTTTGTTTAGCTCATTTGGACAGCCAGCAGGTGAGAAGTACACACCTACTGTTACTCCCTCCTGGCATCTATCAGAATACTTCCAACTCCTAATAATGTCAAGAAAAGAGCCAAGAAGTAAAAAGAACTATTTTCAAAATGGAGACCCTTAATAAAGGAATGTTTGCCAACCAGAGAAAGCAAAAAAGCAGTTTAAGTACAGTGAGAATAATCAAAATTTGTACCTGGTAGAGAACTGTAATTTCTTCCAGGAAGCACATACAGCTTTAATCTTTTCAAACTTGCTCTTATTTTAGAGCAAGGCATATTCTAGTGAGGAGAAAAAGAAACTTGACATTAATTTTATTTTAGCATGACTTCTTAGAGTACTTTTAACATCTAACTATGCTTTGTCAGAGAACAAAGTACTCTTGAATCTCCTCAAAGTAGTCCCAATTTAACTCCAGCTCCTTTAAAATGTGACAACCCAAAACTAAACTACAGGAAATAACAAAAATAAAACTAATGGGGATCCCTAGGTGTCTCAGTGGTTTGGCGCCTGCCTTTGGCCCAGGGAGGATCCTGGAGTCCCGGGATCGAGTCCCACGTCGGGCTCCCGGCATGGACCCTGCTTCGCCCTCCTCCTGTGTCTCTATCTCTCTCTCTCTCTCCTTCTCACTGTGTCTATCATAAATAAATAAATAGATCTTTAATAAATTAATTAATTAATTAATTAAATAAAATAAATAAAAATAAAATAAAACTAATACTGACATGGTATTTTGAGCTGAGTTTAGAAGGTGGTTCTCTGAGATATGCAGCATTATCAACACTGGGAACACAAATTCTCTGGACTTACTCCAGACAAGAGAATCAAGAACTCTGAGGATAGAGGCAAACAGTCTGTGGAGTTCCTTTTAAAAACTGAAGTAAAATTAACATAATGCTATATTAGCTTCAAGTGTACTGAACAAGCTGTGGTTCAACAAGTCCTCCAGGTGATGTTTTTAAAGACTGATTTATTTAAGAGAGAGAGGCAGAGTCCCAAGCAGACTCTGCACGGAGTGCAGAGGCTGAGATAGGGCTCAAGCTCACGACCCAGAGATCAAGACCTGAGCAGAAACAAGAGTATGATGCTCAACCGACTATACCACGCAGGCACCCCAACCTCCAGGTGAGTCTGAGAGCTACGGTTTGAACACCAGAATCCTGAAATTTCCAGAGAACCAGAAAAGTTAAATGTAATCTCTCACACTGGCTACTCCTTGATTCTCCTCTATAAGTGCTAAGAGCTGGTGGGGGTCCCAGAACTCAGGATTTATTATAGTGGCTACACCTTTGAATCACCTGGGAAACTTTAAAAATATCTGAGGGGGAAGAAGTTGGAAGAACTAGGATCTGGCATTTCAAAAAATTCCTGAGGTATCTTCTCCCAGTGTTTCCACACAGAGGTTGAATATTCTCCATCCCTATTTATCCCCAGACCATTAGATACACACATTATGACTGGAATACATTTATTTCCACTACCATCACCCCCCCACCAATACATTTAGAATTGCTACACTTAGTATATATAATAATTCTGGGTTGTCACAACATGCCCTTTTTGATATCTTGGAATGCATTCCTGTGTTTTCTGTATTACTTGTACATTAGTTACCAGATTTTTAGAAATAAAACACTATTATCCTAAGGAAATATTTCAAGAGTAGAGACTCAAAGCTATTTCAATTTCCACGGCATAATAACCAGGCCAAGACAGTAGCTACCTGTCACAGATGTGCAGTCTAAAAGCATCAGCAATGAAAACACCAAAGAAAACTTGTGTAACTCCTCCCTCGGGCCACACTAATGACTTCAAAATGGAATATACAAATGGAGAGTCTTTAAAATGCTACAGAGGGAATTTTAAAGTAACAAGATAAATTTACAGACTAGTAATAAAGTGTACTGATTCTTGGTCACAGTTTCTCCCTATTAAGAAAAACTGATGAAAATAAAGATATGCTAGTTTAAGAGTATATTAGGCATTTTGGGAAGTAAAGTAACTGAAGTTGCTGAAGTACATTTAATTTTATAAGAAATGCTTACATTTATGTTCAGGATGGGTATTTTCTTATTATTTACTCCAAACTTCCTCAAGTTGGACAACATGTTGACCCTCTAAACTGTTATTCTCTGAAAAAGAAATAAACAAGATTTTAAAACTAAGTTTATGTATTATATGTAAGACATACATAAAGCAAGGCATATGTAATATATACGGTAAAATTATATTTTATAAAGTAGGTACAATATTTTTAGCTATCAAAAACTCAGTGCATCATTCAGAAAACAAAAATTCTGAAAAAATGAGAAATGGTTCTCAAATTAAAATATTCTTTATTTTTTTCAACATGCTTTAATTCTTCAAGATATGAGCATATTCTGGAAAAAGAGAGATTAAAGAAACTTACCACAGCAATTACAATGTTTTTGTTTTGTTTTTTTTAGATTTTATTTATCCAATGAGAAACACAGAGAGGCAGACACATAGGCAGAGCTACCTAGGCGCCCCAATTACAATGTATTTATGTAATTATACAAAACTTAGTATAGGAAGGTAAGCATCTACATGTTAACTCAGTAAATTCTCATTGGTAGTCTTACTGGTTTATCTGTATATTCTGATTTTTTCTACCATAAATAAGTAAAAAATATACAAAATGAAGTCCTCTTCAGGAATTATAAAACTAAATATCTTTAGTTTAAAAACATTCCCTGAATATTAACTATGTTTCAAGTACATTATCAAAGCTATGAGAAGTTCATGGAAGCACCTGAGACTGGTTGGGAAGCAGACAGCAGGGAGACCCTGTGTGCCATGTTACAGTAGAAACCATGTCCAAACTCTTTACTTTGGGGCACCTGGCTGGCTCAGTTGGTGGAGTGTGTTAACTCTTGACCTTGGGGTGGGGACTTTGAGCTCCACGCTGGGAGTGGAGATTCCTTACCAAAAAAAAAAAAAAGGTGAAATCTTTAAAAAAAATTCATTATTTTTACTCCTAAATCTCTTCCTTTTTGTCTCAAAACAGCCACACTAACTCTCATTTATTTTTTTAGCGAGAGCATAAAGAGTGAAGGGGGAGGGGAGGGAGAATCTTATCCAGGTTCCATGCTCAGCAAGGAGACCGATGTAGGCAGGGCTTAACGTCACCACTTTGAGATCATGACCTGAGCTAAAATCAAGAGCTGACTAACCCACTGAGCCACCCAGGCACTCCTCACTAACCTTCATTTAGGAAGTCACCAAATCCTTTTGATTTTATTTCTTAAATATATCTTGAACCCATTCCCTCTTCTTGACTTCCAGTGCCAAAGTTCAGGATACTTACAACACTCATGCATGTTCGATCCATTCAATGTAGAACCACAGATTTTAACACTAGCAAATACAAATAAACTCACTAATAAGGTTTGACTCCACATTGCAACTAAGCAACTACCACTTGTCAAAGGCTGGTAGAGCATCTAAGGTCATCTACAATTGTCTGAAAAGACTTAAAATAGTCTTCCCTTCCCCAATCACCTATATGACCTATGTATAATGAGGCTGAATTTTCATCAGATAGTTCAACCAAAAATAAAAATCATACACACATAGTAACAAGTACAGAAAGTGACAGGAGATGCCAGCTATTTTCTATTATGCCCAACACTGAAGAAACTTGCAAAATTGTAAGGCAATGTAAAACTTTCCTCAAACTAAGTTATTTTTGCTTTGGAAATAATAGGTATTTCTCATACATCTATATTACTTATATTAAGATTTAGTGGATTAAGTTTAAGTGAATTTCTAAAGTATTGTAAAGTTTTAATTCTTAATTAGTTGAATATGAATTATAACCCATATAAACAATACTCTTTAGAGTTCTAAATCATTTTTAAGAGTGTGAAGGATTCCTACAGATTAAATTTTGAAAGCTTATTCCAACATCTTGTTTCCTCCAAGTGAATGCCCATGATTATTTTAGGTTATAGAAAAACAAAAACGGTTTACTAAATATTAGAAAAACTAGCCAATAGGACCCATTTTGCAGATACTAATGGTTAAGAAAGTAATTTTTTTTACTTTAAAATGTGAATTTGAGGAAAATTAAGTAAATAACACAGGTGACATTCAGATATAACCAGTCTTAAAAAGTAGTATTCAAATCACTGAAGTGGGAAATACTGCTTTATTCCATATCCTTCAAATAAAGAACCTCCTCTCGTCACTTACCTACTCAAAAACTTTTAAAGGTTTCTAATACAACAAAATCTATCCCCAACTACTGTCACAGCCTTATACTCTCCTATTCCCTACTCTGTATCAGGGAGCTCTTGCCAAAATTCCCCCAGAATCATTATACTCTGGTGCCTTCTCACCTTAGTATGTAACACAGCCACTGCCTGAAAGCAGTCCTAGAATCCTCAAGACCCCACCCCCCCCCATACCTTTTCAAATACTATTAGATCTTCAAGGCCCCGCTTGAAAGCTTTTCCCAATTTCCTGTTTCCATAATGCTTGGACCTTACATCTACTTGTGACAAATAAAGTATTTACAAGCTCTCCTTTATTGTGAGCTCTCCAAAAGGAGGGTTCTTTTTCTAGCACTGCCCAGCACAATGCTTCATTTCTTCACCTATTAAGTTGATTAGGGCCCTCCAGTGATTTTCTTCTTCCCCATGGATCAATGATTTTCAATAAAAATAGCTGCCTACTACTGGGGCCATCAAGTAAGTTATGCTATAAAAGGTCCAGACCTCCTTAAGGCCTAATAAAGTGCTTATTAAATGCTCTAACACCTGATGGTAAAAGAGCAATAATGAGGAAGAAAAAAACAGGTAATACCCATCCTACGTTATTAGCAACAAGTTACACTACCATAAAAAAAGAATACATGGATTTCAAAAAAAAAAAAAAAAAACAGTAGACTATCATGCCTGTGAAGCTTAATATACAAAAAGAGAAATCATAGGGGCACCTGGGTATCTCAGGTGGTTAAGCATATGCTTTTGGCTAGAGTCATGATCCCAGGGGTCCTGGGATGGAGCCCTACATCAGGCTCCCTGCTCAGAGGGGAGTCTGCTTCTCTCTCTCTCCCTCCTGCTCCCCCTGCTTGTGCTCTCACTCTGTCAAATAAATAAAATCTTTAAAAAAATCATAAAATATATCAGTATGCAAGCAAAATTGAAGGTGATGTTAAATCAAGTAATATAGGAAAGAAGATCCTAAAGCAAGCATCAAGTTAAAATGGTCTGTGTTTGCAGATAGTATGTTACTGTACTTAGTAATTTCTCCCAAATTAGAAACTCCACTTCAGATTTATCATATCCAGTGCTTTTTAGAAAAAAATATCAAGTATGAATTAGGCCAGTATGTTTATTATTGTCCATCCTTAATATCATCTTTTTTTTCTATACTGAATAGATCATCTCATACTATTAATCTAAACATTCATTTTTACAATATTTCTAGCACATATTCTAAAACAAATCATCTAAAGTTATGTAAATATTATCTAAATTTTAAAAATCAGTTCTAGCCTTTAACTTCTTCAAGAACAAAGCTTACCAAAGTAACTTTTACTTGCTAATAAACAGCTCAAGTATTTACTTTTAAATTTAGGTCAACTGTATCAATAAAGCACTTTCCAATTCCCTTGTTTATCTAACATTTATTGGAGCAACGCAAGAAGCTGGTTATTAGAAAAAAAACCACATGATTCCCAACCTTGAGAATACCGTTAGCTTTAAAAACTCTAGTCTGTCTCCTGCATATCACAATAGCAAATGGCTTCATTCATAGTAATTTTTACAAAGCTCTTACTATACCTGTTCCTCTTCTGTAAAACAAATAAGCTTGGCTTAACCGTAAACAATCAATAAAAAGCATCCTCTCACATCCTCCTGACTTCTCACTTAGTATTTATTGCTATAGGTGAGATTCTATCTAAAGTTTCATCCAATCAGAGGAATACACTTCATGCTTCTGATTGCCAAAATGTAGAGTGGGTATCTACTATATGCTTTTGGTAGATAAAATGAAGAAGTGATATCCAACTTGCCCTTGCCAGGTATATAGGAAGTCAATTTTTCTAAAAAAAAAAAGTTTGACGTTGATCTTCTTAGGCCATTTTTAGCTGGCAATCACCCCTGAAAATAAGATAAACAACACAGCCAACCAGTATGCCGCCTCTATTTTACACGAATCAAAATAGGTCTACTGCCTAACCTTTAGAACTTACTTTCTATTCCTGGATCAGATGGCAAAAAAGGGCATGAGTGGATTTGAGAATCATAAATGGAAAAAATCATACTGATGAGTTCACAACTTTAACAGCTACTAAAATTTTCCTTAAGCTGAAAGAACTGTAACAGGAAAACAAGGATAAATCTCACAATATTAAGCAAGCGAAGCCAACACAAAGAGTTCACACTGTACGATTCCAATTATATAAAATACAAAACAGGAAAAGCCAATCCGTTATGTTACACGTCAGGATGGTATTTTCACGGGAATGGCAGTGACTGGGAAGAGGCAGGAGGAAGGCTCCCGGGGCGCGCGGGTTAATGTAATTTCTGGACTCAGGGGCTGCTTATCTCTGTGGTCAGAGTCCGAATACCCACTGAAGCATATGTCTACGGTACGCACTTTTTACGTGTGTTTTACGCCTCTTTTTAAAGCTTCCCATACACTTCTCATAACAGAAACGTCAAGTGGGCAAAGTCCTGACTAGTTTACAGAAGACTTGCTGGGGTCCCAAGTCTTCTGTGACCTCGGGTCAACCACGTAAAGTCTCTTCACCTTTCTTTCCATCTATCGCATTCCCGGGTCAGTAGGAGAGCTAAGTTCGGGGGCGCCCGGGGGCTCAGCGGCGGAGCGTCGGCCTTGGCCCCGGCCCAGGGCGTGACCCCGGGGTCCCGGGATCCAGTCCCGCGTCGGGCTCCTGCGTGGAGCCTGCTTCTCCCCCGCCTGCGTCTCTGCCTCCATGTCTCTCATGAGTAAATAAATAAAATCTTAAAAAAAAGAACCAAGTTCACTTACTCAACAAGAATTCGTCGTTACTCTGTCCTATCACTGCCTCCTAGTAAACGTGTTGAAAGCTGAAACGAAAGACATCCCTGCCTCAGGCCGTGTCTATCCTGGCCAGTGGAGACCGGCGATAAACAGAAGGAATTAAACACTTAGCGGAGAATCAGGCAGGAAAGCAGAACCGGGTGGGAGCTGCAAGCAAGGCCCCTTAAGTGATACTTAAATGACGTTTAAGCAAAGACGTCAGGCGGCACGGGAAGCCAAACCCGGGCTAGTTCTAGGAAGCCACATCGCGGACTTCACTGCGCCTGAACATGCTGGTTCGCATTCGGGTCTTAAAGAAAATAAATCGCCCTAGAAGATGGGGCGTGAAGAGCCTCACACCGCAGACCCACCGCGGTGCCTCCACTCCGGGCACGAAGACTCGGGGACCGCCGCGGCCTCGGGCACTCGTCCCCCCTCCCGCCCCGGCTGGCCGTCGTCCGGTGCCCGCGGGCGGCGGGTCCCGGTACCCACCCGGCACCAGGTCGCTCGGAGGCCGGCTTCCTCCCGCGGGACACGCCACCTGCGCGAACGCCCCGCCACCCGCAGGACCCAGGGCCTCGGAGCCGCCGCTTCCGGCCGCCGCGCCCGCCACTTCCGGGAGTGCCACGCTCAAACGCCGCCTGCCGGCACCTTCCGTCCTCCAGGCCGAACGCGGAGAAAGCGGGCCCGGAACCAACGTGGCGCGCCTGGCGCGCTTCCCCCGGAGTCGGTGGGCGCGGGGCCGTCTCTTTCCGTCGCGGCCCGGGAGCCCGAAGCTAGAGAACCTCTTGGCGCCCGGCGGCTGCTCGCGGCGGCCCGGCGGCCGTCACCATGGTGAGGGGCAGTTCGGGGCCCCGGGGAGGCGAGGCGAGGGGAGGGGAGGGGAGGGACGGGACGCAGACCGGGACGGCTGCCGGCGCCGCAGTGTGAGGTCCCGGGCTCCGCGCCGCGGGCGGCCGCTCACCCATGCGGAGCGAGCTTCCAGCCAGGCCGACCGCCACGCGCGCTCTTCCGGCCGCCGCCTGGTCTGCGGAGCGGCGCTGCGCTGGCTTCTCTCCCGGCTTCTACCCGGGCGGCCACGGCCACGGCGGTCGGGTGGCACCCGGCATTATTCCGCGCTGGGGCGGCTTGGCCTCGGCAGTTTATTTTTGCGTTCTTTAAATCCAAGCGGGCTGTGACCACATGTTCCGAGTAAAAGTGGCGCCTCAAGTAAAAACAGGCGCTTCAAGGCCACTTGTGAGGACGGCGTGGCGTGTGGCCACACGAGGCTTCCGGTTTCATTCGCTAAAGACGGGAAACAGCCCACATATCCGTGAGCCGGTCAGAGGGTCGGGGGTGACACGTTCCCGCGTGGACCGCTGTCTGGCGGTGGACAGGGTCCGGCTCCTGACACGGGTGGGAATCTGAGGAGCCCTCCGTGGAGGCGGCCGTCGGAGGAGCCGTAAGTGGAGGCTGTCGTCCGAGGAGCCGTAAGTGGAGGCTGTCGTCCGAGGAGCCCTCCGTGGAGGCGGCCGCCCGAGGAGCCCTCAGTGGAGGCGTCGGAGGAGCTGTAAGTGGAGGCGGCCAAGGAGCCCTCAGTGGAGGCCGTCGTCCGAGGAGCCGTAAGTGAAAGCAGACACCAGAGGCTCCGGGCTGTAGGTGCCGCTTCAGGTCCTTCCCGGAGGGGGAAGGCTGGAGGGGATACCTGCAGGTGCGAGGTGGACGACACTGTCCCCAGAGTACGACGAGGTTTTCTGAGGTGATGGAATGTTCTCTATCCGATTGGCGGTCACAAAGCTGGGTAGTTTGTCGGAGTGTAAGACTGTACGCCTCTTAGCACATTTCATCATGTGGATTGTACTTCGATAAAGCTGAGAGATTTCTCTGATAAAAAACTATGAATAATGATGATGATGTCATTGAAAAACCAGATTGCTGGTGTTCAGAGGGGAAAAGAGACCCTGGAATGAAGCCATCCTCTGTGGTCCAGCTGATTTTGGACAGATCCCCTCAACGAATGGTGACTTTCCCTGAGATTCTTGCAGACGTAAATCCTCGCGTCTGATACCATCCAGGGCTGAATGTACTGGGCGCGTGTCATGGGCGTGGGCACGAGAGTTACTTAAGCTAGGGAACATTGGGGTGACTTAAGGCCTTCTGTACTTTAGATGGTGCTCAGAAAGTTCTTTTAGTTTAGTTCTGTCAATTTTTTAAATTAATGTTTCTTTCGTTTTAGCCACAAAATGAATATATTGAGTTACACCGGAAGCGCTATGGCTATCGTTTGGATTACCATGAGAAAAAGAGAAAGAAAGAAGGTCGAGAGGCTCATGAACGTTCAAAAAAAGCAAAAAAGATGATTGGTCTGAAAGCTAAGCTGTACCATAAACAGCGCCATGCTGAGAAAATACAAATGAAAAAGACGTAAGTGCTGAGTTCTTTAACAAGTTAATATGTTTTGAGTAATAGTTTTTAAAACTAATGATCTTGAATCTTTTTCCTTGTCAGTATCAAGATGCATGAAAAGAGAAACACCAAACAAAAGAATGATGAAAAGACTCCACAGGGAGCAGTACCTGCATATCTACTGGACAGGGAGGGGCAGTCGCGAGCTAAAGTACTTTCCAATATGATTAAACAAAAGCGAAAAGAGAAAGCGGTAAGAGATAAAAATTGAAGTCTTTTATTTTTTGTTCAGGAGAATTACTAAAATTTAATAGTTATTTTCTTCAGTTTAATTGGAAACATGAAGTCCAGCTACTCTTCCCATTATTTAGATACAAAGTCTTTGTAAAGTTCATTTTGTATTAAATAGTCGAGTAATAGGCAGGCAGCCTGGGTGGCTCAGCGGTTTAGTGCCGCCTTCAGCCCAGGGCGTGATCCTGGAGACCCAGGATCGAGTCCCGCGTCAGGTTCCCTGCGTGGAACCTGCTTCTCCCTCTGCCTGTGTCTCTGCCTCTCTCTGTGTCTCTCTCGTGAATAAATAAATAAAATCTTTAAATAAATAAATAAATATTTGAGTAATAAAACATATGCTTTCTCATTAAGAGAACATGTTAGCATTTAACAGGTTTTTAAAGTTATTAAAATAGCAGACATTTTTAGTGTTAAAAAAGTATCTAAAAAGTTAGTAAGGCATGAATCTTAAATTCAGTATTTTAACAGCTTCCTATACGTGGCACTTCCTAATGCTGTGCTCCTATGGAGAAAGATAAAACTGCTTCTATCTGTTGGCCTGTATTGCTAAAATTTGTTAAAAAGTAGAATAGTGGAAAACCCTTTAACTGATTTAACTTAAGTACAAATTTAGCATTTTTGTTTAATACGCTTAGTGTCAGTTTTGTGTATTATGTAATACATTTTGTGTATTATGCTTAGTGTCAGTTTAGGGTAAAGTCTGCAGAAATCAGAGAACGGCATAAATACTGTTTATAAACATCTGTAGATAAATTGACAAATCCAGGTAGCAACAGATCCTAATTTGATTTTAAAAATCACACAGCCAGATACCTGGGTGGCTCAGTGGTTGAGCGTCTGCCGTGGGCCCAGGGCGTGATCCTGGGGTCCGGGGATCGAGTCCTGCATCAGGCTTCCTGCGAGGAGCCTGCCTCTCTCTCTGTCATTCATAAATAAATAATGAATGAATGAATGAATGAATGAATGAATGAATGAATGAATTTTTTTTTATCACATTGCTTGTATTTTGGTGTGCGCTATCTAAAGTTAGAATGGTGTAAATTGAGAAATGTTAGAGGTTGTCCACTTAACTCCTCCTCACTTTACAGATAAAAAGAGTGAAGTCCAGTTGCTTGTAAATCATTCTGCATGGTAATATATTAATGGAGTGATAGAATTGCTTTTAGAATCTGTATTGCGGGATCCCTGGGTGGCGCAGCGGTTTGGCGCCTGCCTTTGGCCCAGGGCGCGATCCTGGAGACCCGGGATCGAATCCCACATCAGGCTTCCGGTGCATGGAGCCTACTTCTCCCTCTGCCTGTGTCTCTGCGCCTCTCTCTCTCTCTCTCTCTCTCTCTCTCTCTCTCTCTCTCTGTGACTATCATAAATAAATAAAAATTTAAAAAAAGAATCTGTATTGCTTCAGTTTTTTCATAGAATTTTCATTCTACAGAGGTTCAAAGTATATGGTGATGATTTTGTCTTACTGGTAATGTGATCTAAAAAGCCACTCAAGGTGGATACAGAGATGCATTTTTTTTTTTTTAAAACAGAGATACATTAAGAGGTGTTTTGACACTACTAACCATCTAGTGGTAAGCACATACACTGTTTCGAGAAATCACTGCCTTATGACAGGTGGCGTTTTTCATCCATAACAAGGCATTGAGATCTTTAGCTTAAGCAGACTATTTTATTTATTTATTTTTTAAGATTTTATTTATTAACAGAGCCAAGGGACAAGTAGGGGGAGCAGCAGGCAGAGGGAAAGGGAGAAGGAGGCTCCCCACTGAGCAGAGACCAAGATGGCCAGTCTCCATCTCAGGACGCCAGGACCATGACCTGAGCCAAAGGCAGATAGTTGCTTTAACCAACTGAGCCACCTAGGTGCCCCACAAACCGTTTAATGAATCCATGATAAGAAGCTTAATTCCAATTAATTTGGGGCTTTTGAAGAGACAGTGCAGACCTCTAGAAAACATTGGAGTCAAAATCTTGATTTAGGAAAAAAGTGAATCCACTATTTTGTACACTAAAACATACTTTTTTGTTCTCATTGCCTTTTACTAATATAAATTTTGACTGTGGTCTATTTTTAGGGAAAGTGGGAAGTTCCTTTACCCAAAGTTCGTGCTCAGGGAGAAACAGAAGTATTAAAAGTCATTCGAACAGGAAAGAGAAAAAAGAAAGCATGGAAGAGGATGGTCACTAAAGTCTGCTTTGTTGGAGATGGCTTTACTAGAAAACCACCTAAATACGAAAGATTCATTAGGCCAATGGTAAGTCCCTTGTTAGAGTGGGATGGATTAAATATTTGTTGCTATGTTATATAAGATACAATTTCCTGTGAAAAAAGATTGAAAGACATTTTTAGGTTATTTTCAAGTTATTGATAGGGATGGCTTAACAGTTTTCTACCGTCAAGAATCTTGTCTTCATCTTTGTAAGACAGGAGATGAAAAATAATTATTACAGACAGTGCTGGTGAATCCTGATTTTTAAATATGTCATATTAGTATCTTCATTTTCCATGTGAGGTCATTGTACTCATTCCACAGGTTATCTATATGCTGATACTTGTTCTGAGAACAGTTAGAAAACGGGTAGGACTGCTTTTTCAAGAAGCAATTCCCATTTAATAAGAAAATTATCTTAATGCTTTTGAAAACATTCAGTATGTAGTCATTGGAAAAAGAATTTAATATAAAAGTGGAACTTTAATATCTGTAGACAACAGTGATGGGCAAAACCATTCTCCTCCCCTTTCCCAAATGTAACTGAACATTTCGTTGACCATTGAACAGTGGGTGCCCACCCCCTGCAAAGATGTAAAATCCACATAAAACTTTTGACTCCCCCAAAACTAAACAGCCTACTGTTGCCTAGAGCCTTACTGATCATCTAAATGATCAACTAATACATACTTGTATGTTATGTGTATCATATATTCTTAAAGAGAAAAGTACTCAAATCAGAAAATAGATCTGTAGTACTGTATTTATTGAAAACATCTGCATGTAAGTGGATCTGTGCCGTTCAAACCTGTGTTCTAGGTTCAACTATCTACTTTTCCAGAATCCTTTTAAACTGACTGAATTGCTCCCCTCACTGGATATCCAACTTGCTTAGAAAAAGTCAGAGGAAGGTTGGCCGTGTTACCTTAGCTTTCACTCTGAATAATTCTTAATGGATTAAAATGTTGGCCAACAGCCTGTTTGTATAATTAAGATTCTGTTGGAACCTGGCCATGCCCTTCTATTTACATATTGTCTATGGCTGTTTTTCTCCGCAGACTTTGAGTAGTTGCAGGAGACACAGTATGAGTGTTGACTGTCTATTTTCAGCCATCCCTGGATTGTATCATGAACTGCTCTGTGTTGATTTCATACTCATAATCTTCTAAATACAGTTTGGTAACTTTATCAGTTCTGTAGGGAGGAAATATACTAATAAGCTGTTACAGGCTTTCTGTAGCCAGGCAGGTACATCTCATGAATGGGTCCGTTACTAAGAACTTAAGTATCATTACCCTTTATTCTCCCAAACAGGCAAAAATCAGTTAAGAGACTATAAAGTGTTGTGGCTTCTGAAGTGTTACACTCCACAAGGTCAGATGTAGGTGACTGGGGTGATTCCAGGTGATTAACAGACCTCTCTGGGCTCTCTCCAGTCTCTGACCAGTATTCTCATTAGTGAAATGCTGACAGTCCACCCTCCTTTTTCATCATGTAAAACAGCTGAGGTCTAGAGAGCCTTGGGGTCAGGATAATTTAACTCCATCCACACACACCACACCGTTCAACCCAGGAACCAGTCATTTCACCTGCCAATCTTTAGCTTATCATCCAAAAAAAGGGGCGGGGTGGGGGAGCTGTGAGGTTAATATGCTTAAATGAGCTATTTGTATGCTCCACCATAGTGCCTGGCATGCAGCAGGTCCTCAGGAAACATAGGTAACAGGATAAATCTGAGCACGATGCAAGGCAACATGCTGTGGTAAAAACTTGAGTATGTGTTAAGGGTTTTCTCTCATGTATTTATCAGGTTTTTAGTCTGTAGAATTTTAAGTATTTAATTTGATGCCTTAATATTTGACATTGTTCATCCATGGGGTGTTTTTTGACTTGGAAGACAATTGGAAAAGCAAAAAGGAAGAAGCTCATCGTTAACATTTTAGACTCGTATAATATTTTTGTGTTTGACTTACTAGGGCTTACGTTTCAAAAAGGCCCATGTAACACATCCTGAATTGAAAGCCACCTTTTGCCTGCCAATACTCGGAGTAAAAAAGAATCCCTCATCCCCACTATATACAACTTTGGGTGTTATTACCAAAGGTACTGTCATTGAAGTGAACGTGAGTGAGTTGGGCCTTGTGACACAAGGAGGCAAAGTTATTTGGGGTAAGTAAACTTTTGAATACGGAGCTGCTGCTGTTCAACAATCCTAAGATTAAAATTTTTCAAGTTGATAGAAAGCACAAAGCAAATTTTAATGCAGAAGAGCTAGATTAAGTTAAAATAATGTAAGTCAGGTTTAAATCTTTAGGAAGAATACTTTTTGTAGACAAAGTAGTGAATGTGATTCTTTTTAACTTAGATTATTGGTTTCAGTTATATAAAGTGTACTTTATTGTTAGATTTAGGACTGTTTCAAAAGGCATTCATTAGGAGGGAAGCAGATGGAATAAGTTATAACCAAAATACATTGGAAGAAAATACAATATATTAACCATGAGCAGAGGAAGGGAGACCTATATTAAACACATCGCCACACTATTTCAGTAATTAAAAATAGGTATCATGCAGCAATTTTAATTCTTCCCTTGTTTTCTTAGTTTTCTGCTTTTAGTGCCCAGGTATTTCTAAACTTTAATGTTCTCTGAAATTAAAGAATACCTTCCAGCTTCTTGAGTCTTTATATGAGTCATTCATACTTCATATTGGCTGACCTCAACTTTAAAATAAGTTTCAAATTAATTTAACCTAATTAAAACTTGTTTCATTTTCTAGTAAGAAAAGCATGTGGAAGGGATCCCTGGGTGGCGCAGCATTTTAGCGCCTGCCTTTGGCCCAGGGCGCGATCCTGGAGACCCAGGATCGAATCCCACGTCGGGCTCCCGGTGCATGGAGCCTGCTTCTCCCTCTGCCTGTGTCTCTGCCTCTCTCTCTCTCTCTCTCTGTGACTATCCTAAATTAAGAAAAAAAAAAAAAAGAAGAGTATGTGGAAAAGCAGCAATGCTCAGGTCAATCCAGAGGCTTGTTGATACAATGCACTAACAGAATGGAGCAGACCACCATTTGTAAAAAGTGTAAAAACAGTATATGAAAATTGTTTCCGGAACTGGTTTGATTTTGAGTAAAATCTCATTGATCCTACTATCACTTATTTCTATTACCACTTTTAAGAAAGAAAAATTTTGGGCAAAGTTCATTTTTATTAGTATTAATATCCCTCTTTTTCCCATTTTGTTTTTTTTCAGGAAAATATGCCCAGGTTACCAACAATCCTGAAAATGATGGATGCATAAATGCAGTCCTGCTGGTTTAACAGCAGTTTCAGACAAGTAATCCCTTATAATTACTGAAGACTACACACCTGTCAGGAAGACCATCATTGTTGTGGTTCTGGATGCTACCAAACAGCCTTACATATCTACAGTCATCAAGACATTTATTCTACTGTAAAAAAGTTGAAATAGACATTTATTAAAATAAGTGGTCTTTATTTTTGAGTCTTTTTAGCATTTAGATGTTCATGAATTTGAATAATTTATAAAAACAATCATAGTTAATATCTTGGCCCAGGGCACCTGGGTGGTTCAGTCAGGCGTCTGCCTTCGGCTTGGGTTGTGATCCCAGGATCCTGGGATGGAGCCTTGCGTCCAGTTCCCTGCTCAGTGAGGAGCCTGCTTCTCCCTCTCCCTTTCCCCTTGCTTGTGTGTGTGCGCGCGCTCGCTCTCTCTCTCTAATAGATGGATAAAATATTAAAAAAAAAAAACTCTTGGTCCACATCTGCATTAAGAAGTGGACACTCAGCAATGCAGACCTCTTGTTCCTGGAAAACACAGTGTAGTTGAAATCCTCTTTTATCATGAAGGTCAGTGCACACTTAAAGAGCCTAGACTACAAAATGGTCATTTCTGAGACCTTACCTGAAGTCTCTTCTACCTCATTTTTCTTAATGCTACATTTCTTAAGATTAATAAACACACGGTAGCGTTCATTTAGAAAGTATTTATACCAAATTACAGGAAAAGGAAGGCACACTACACTAAGAGTTCAGAAGGGTTTAGATAAATCCTTTCACCTCTATTTGTTCATAAGTCAGTGAATTTATATTTTAAACATTTTTCTCTCAATCATGTATAGTAATACCTACCTGGAACTGTATTTTCTACTCCAAATATATGGAGAAAAATGCACCAAAATGTTTATGCTTTCACATTTTTGGAATGGTCACAAACCATTACCAAAGTAATGCCAGGTAAAACCATTTAAGAAAAAAAAAAAAAAACTGCACTGATACCCTTAAAGAGAAATTTTTTGGCAGTTACTTCAGTAATATAAAAAAAGGCCATGTTTTAGGTTCGTAAGCCTGGTCAAAGCACTTTTGTGATCTGAATTACGTTTGTGGCTTTGAGCTTTAAGGTGTCCATAGTATTACATTAATCTATGATCACGTTAATGGTTTTAAATTCTGTTTATTTTTAAAGTCTGTCTTGAAAGTACAACCAATGTGATTAATTGTGCCTTTAACAAAATCATTTAATGTCTAAACAAATTCAATATCTAAACACATCTTTGTCGATTAAAATAGGGAAAAGGGAAAGAATATCAAAACACAGGCCAAGAAACAATCACAAAACATACTACTTTTAAACTTAAAAAAAAAAACTACCAAGAAAACAAACTTGAGTACTTAAGACTTGCTATTCTGAATAATGTAACATCTTTTCTAAGTTCTGTAAACAGAGAAGTTTTAGAACACATACACACTTAGGAAAAGAAAGGCTAGTTCCTTGGGAATGACTATCCAATATGATACAATTACTTCAGGATGACAGAAGCTGGACCTTTCTCACAATTAGATTTTAACAACTGATTTTGCCACTAATAGAAGTGGGGAATGTGTGAATGACTAAGATTTGGAAGGTGAAAAAAAAATAGACTAAAGGTAAGCACAATCCTACAAAACTCAGTCTGCTTATTTTTTAGAACCCAAAATAAGCAAATTATCTTGTACAAAGAAATCTTGATAGTATGCCAACAAAAGCATAACATTTGTAACTAATCACACCCATGAAAGACTGGATAACACCTTAAAAACACCAGATTATTACAAGGCAGAAATTTCTAAAATGCTGTTACACAGATGAGTAATGTTAGTATAAATTCTGTATTTACATTAAGATCTGTATCAGTTTGCTGGTGTGACCAAACCTTAGAAGGTAATCCCTAAAGGAAAAAGCAGTACGTTAGAGCAGATATTTAGATACTAGGGAAAGATTCGATTTGATGTAATCCTAAACCTTCAAGATGTTTTCTCAAGTCACGGAAACAATGTTTTAGGTAGTGTTCTGATCAGCTAAAAGTGAACCATTAATCACAAGTGTGATCCTTGCAGTTTTATTCTCTGCTGTGAATGGAAACATCATGAATACAGACATTTTAAGTAGAAGACTGACACTGTCATGCTATTTGATTTTATAAAAAATCATAATAGATCCTCTCACCTTTAAAAGGTGCAGAGGAGCTTTATAATAAATTCTTAAATATATTTCTGTGATGTCTAGCAATTGGATAATTTAAACTTGAAGGAACTAAAATTCTACTAATCTCTATGTTTTATATTACACAAGGAAATATACATGTATTTACACAAACTGAAGTGAAATCCTTTTCCAGAAATAAAACGTTCTAAACAAGAAAAAAGTTCACAAAGGACTATATAGAATGTTGACAAGACACTCAACAACCAGACTGGCTGAAATCAGATTTCAGTCCACTGTAATTTTCGAGTTTTTCTAATGCCTTGTAAAAACTAAGTATCTGATTAGTTTTATTTAGATTCCTTATGGAGAAGTTTTGTTATAAATTCTACACTTACTGAGTATAGAACTCATACTGAACATGAACGTGTTACTGAACACAAAAGTAAGGTTTTTCTATGCTACCTAGCTTTCTCTACCATCTACAAACCCCCAAAATAACATTTTCAGTCAGAGATGATATGGAATAAAAGTTTTCTTGAATGCGAAGCAAAAAGTACTGAAACTGCTTAAAATGCTCTTGCTGTTTAAGAATAAACCAAACAAGTTTAACAAGTATGAGTTTATACTGTTTAGTCCCATTATGTAAGAATAACCATGTTCTGTGAACTCCGCAACTATATTCACATATCAATGGTTGTCAGTGAGCTCAATCTTAAAACTACACCCTTTTATTAAAGTATTCTCAAGATAACAATGAGCAATCCAAGTAAAAAAAGTAAACTGTTAGGTTTTTAAATCTATTATGAGAAATTAAAAATGGAAAAGTTAAGAATTTACTAAATCTTCGTATCTTTATTTCCCTAATTGTGGTAGTAAAGTTTCTCACAAAATCTATAAAATAGCATAAACATGTGACAGATATACTAGTCCTAGTACCAGTCATACTTATTTTTTCAATTAATTAGCATTTGTTGAGAGAACAAATGGCCAAAGTACTTTAATTTTCATTTGGGGTGAAATCATCTGGCTTGTCTCTGACAATTAAGGGAAATGTAAGGGATACAAGTATTCAAAATTTTACATGAATAGGAGGGTTTACTGTTTTGTCTGTTTCACATTTTAACTTAGCTCATTAGACCTAAAACATCAACATTCCAAAATAAAATTTAATGACATCACCGGACTGCAGACTGGATAAACCTTTGACATCAGTCCTCGTGAGCACCTCAAATAATGACACAAGGTCACAACGTGTTTTCATTTAAGGACCAAGTGGTTTTAAAAACAATCCACATGGTGCCAAAGCATTCTATGAGTTAATTGCAAATCTGAGCACACACAATACTTCCAAAGAGTAAGACTGTTTTAAGATTCTCTCTGGATTCTAAGAATAACCATTTTATTCATTTTCAGATAAATTATGTAAAAATTAACAAGAGAATTTGTTTTTTAAGTTTTACTAGGCAAAGGCCTTTGCTGTCATACCACAATGTATACACACAGGCTAGCTTGTAACCCTGTCGTCACAGAGCAAACTAAGAGTGAGCAAGACCAAAGCAACAAGCGAGGCCTCCAATGCGATCTCAGCTCGTTCAGCTGTTCCTGCCGTCTAGATCTAAGATTGTGAGGCACAGTCCAAACCCATCCAAAAGCCGGCAGACAGGCAGGCAGATCTCTCGGCAGGAATCACTCTGAGTTAGGGAAGTGGATGAAAGCTGAGAACAGACGATTCTAGAGTAAAGGCAGTGGCAGGATTAAGGAGAAGCCTTAGGAAGGTTTCTCACACTTCTGAAGTACACGTTAATTACATGAGGACAAAAGTATCGTCCCCCGCTTCAAGTGAAATTTTCTATGATTATATTAGTGCCCACACACCAGAGTTAAATCCCTAGCAGTACTGTAAATATTAGACGTTAAAAGACTGAGGTGGAACCAGATTTTATACCTTTCCTCAGACACTAAAGTCAGAGAAGAAACTGCATCTATACAACTAATTATGAAGCCAATATACCATCTTCATAAACCTTTCACCATAAATTTCTGTATTTGTGCTCTCGTTTAGTTGAAGTACATTTTCATTTACTGACATTTTTGTTTAGACATGCCTACATTTAAAAAAATGATTAGTTTTGATCTTTGAGATAAAACTTCTAGAACCCTCACCAAGTTTACTATTAAAATCCATAGTATAAAAGATTTCTGTGATCCTTACAAGTAACGGAAAGCCTACTACTTTCAGTTTAATTTAAATTTCCTGAAATATTAATGGTCAGATGTCTCCAATTGCTAAAGAAAATATAGTATGATCTGGTTTCCATGGTTAATAAAAATAAAAAATTGTATTTACACTGAACAGCCTGAAAAATTAAAAAGAATGTGAATCTTAGGTCCTAAGGGGGAAGGGAAAACTGGTATCATAAATAAGTTCAAAGTGGAATTTTGGAATTTTTGCCCTGTGCCCCATGCCATTTATTAATTGCCATATTTTAAAAACAACAATTATTTTACAAAGAAGAGGGTTTATCATCTGCGTATCTTCTTCATTCATGTCAGCTTGGCTTTCTTCTTAGCAGGTCCTTTATGCCCTTTGGCCTTTCTTCTTAAATTCCGCCTGTCTACCACAGGTACTTCCACTTCTATTTCCTCTGAGCTGCTGTCCACAGTTTTTTCTGTTGCCTGTGCAAACTGATCCAGTTGCTCAGAAGATGCTTCAGACTGCTCCTCTGACTGATTCTTCTGTCCCGCATTCTGTGAAAACGGCACATCTTCAAGTTCAACCTCTATCAGAGAGCTCTGAGGAAGAGCTGTAGATGTTTCCTGGGACTCAGGTACCCCCTCCTCACCCTGGTCTTCCAATGAAGAAGTAGTGTTGGGTGATAAATTTTCAGAGATCGATTCCTCAGAAAATTCTGCTATCACAGAGTTTGGAAAACCACTGTCGGATCGTTCTTCATTTGGGATAGTAGCAGCATTGTCTGAACTCCCAAAATGTGCTTTCTTTCTTGAAACCAGCGGCAGTTTCTCTTCAGTGTGCCCTTTTTCATCAGATGGGCCTTCATCTAGCAACATTTCTGAGTCAGTTACATGTGATGTCTAAAAATAAAGAACTGGGTGAACAAACTTTTGCAGTACAATTCTTACATAAATCACACACTAATACTCAATGACAATGAACTGCATTGTCAAGAATTCAGTACGCATAGCTTTTGTTAATTAGGTGTACATAGTCTGAATACAAGTCTTATTTCACAACTGTCTTACGTGATAATCTGCTTCTTGCTTTGAAGATACAATGAAAGTAATCATTTTATCTCAAAAAGTACTTAGAACATTTTAAACTTCTTATCAAGTTTCTTCAAATCAAGTTTTTAGTTTCTTGGTATTACTGGAGCCAGAACCAAGAGCCCTTTGGAGTTTGACACTGGGCCAATCCACTAAGTTTGACTATAATTTCATTAGATGATATGTAAGGAAAATGGAAATATTATTCATTTATTTATTTGAGACACTAATAAGATAACACTATACAATAGTTGTTTAGTCTTAGGTTGGAATATTTGAAAGTAAAAATGAAATTTCTCTTAAAATACTCTATCAGCAGTCAGATATGTGGATAAGGTTAGAAAGATTTGAATTTATGGACTATTACTGATTGCATTGTCTGAAAATACCTAATTTAGCATAATAATTATCATATAACTAATCTTCCTGAAGAAGATTTCCTTCCTTCCACATCAAGGTGGAGGAAAATATACAAACCACAATACCGCTTCCATTTCACCGACACTGGAACAGCTGGACTAGAAAAAATTAAGTTACTTCCCTCTTACCTTGTCCTGTGCAACAGTTTCAGGGGGTTTTGAAGGTTCTACCACCAGTGGAACAAAAGCAGTAGCGTCTTCACTGGAATTAAGAGACTGCAATTTCATTTCTTCATCTAAAACTTCACTGGCAGAGTCCTCCTCTTCAGTTATAAGTGAGGTTTTAAGAGTATCATCCATTATCTCACCATTCATAGGCTCTAATTCAGAGTCCTGCATCATTGAGGGGATAGAAGTCAGGACACAATGATAGACTAACTTATCGGTCTTGCCAGGGGTCCACTCTCAGTCTCTACCTGTCATACAGCAGGACTCAAGATACAGTCTCCCAAATAGTCCGACTAAGGGAAAGAGGAAACTTTTCAGGCGGGGTCAGTAAAAGAAAAGAACCCACAAGGAACCCAAACTCCCTCTGTTCTCATGCAGACAGCAGACAGACCATGATGCTCTGCAGACGAAGTACAGGTCAGAGATGCAGGGAAGAAACCCTGCCCCCTTCTTGTTCTTCCTTATACGGCCATCAAGAGTGGAACCTTTCCGGTAATAAAAAAGGCCCCATATACTCTAGATTTGATGCCAGCCAGCTCTTTACAGGACACTAGCTAATCAGCACTTGGAATCTTTGGGGACCATGGGAAGTTAGGGGTTACCGTGCCAGGGGGAAGCAGCGGCACTAACAGTCTTGTGGGAAGCTGAGTTTGGATACAGCTTCTTACTATAAGAAGAAAGCCCCCAATCTCAGTCAGCTCCCTATCCAGTCAACTTTGGGTCATTTTTTTGAACAATCTTACTCCTTATATCACACTAAATATAGAAATATCAGTGAGGTGATAACACAAACTTTGCATTTCTGAAACTCTTCTGCCAACATTTATCAATGTAAAATACTTCTATTTAATGTTTAATAGTTCTAATGAGTCTTAGTGACATTCTGATAGAGGGCATTTTATTACCATTGTAAAAATTAAATAATGATGCAACTCAAGAGTTCAGTAACAGGTTTGTCCAGATTATGTAGGATCCCTAAAGTCGTAGGGATACTGAAATCTAGGACTAAAAAAATTTATCTTGCCAGACAGTATCAGAAAATAGACTGCACACAGAAGGTAATTATAAGAAAGCTCATAAAATGATCAACTAGGGTAGGAAAAAATGTTGAAAGGAAGAAAATGATATAATCAAGCAAAAGCTTAAAAAACTCAGAATGTTGGTAACTAACTAAATGTAAGAAGCAACAGAAGAGATAAACCTGGTTTCTTTAAGTTTTAGGTTTGGGAAAAGAATGGAAGATTATTTTTTTTTTTTAATGATGAGGTTATTTTTTTTTAAGATTTTATTTATTCATGAGAGACAGAGAGAGAGAGAGAGAGAGAGGCAGAGACACAGGCAGAGGGAGAAGCAGGCTCCATGCAGAGAGTCTGATGTGGGATTCGATCCCAGGGCTCCAGGATCATGCCCTGGGCCAAAAGCAGGCACTAAACCACTGAGCCACCCAGGGATCCCAAGAATGGAAGATTAAAAAACAAAAACACACACAGGAAAAAAAGGCTCAATACAGAAGTGATAAGAAAGAATAGATTATGTTGAATTTAAGATGATAGAAGACATCTGTCTACATAGAATATTCAGAAGACAAGTAATACTGTGGCATTATAGACTGAATCAATATTCCAAGTCTAGAGTTATTGGTCACCCCACAGAAATGAGAGTTCAACCATCCAACTGGATGCATTTTCATAGAGAAGACATGAACTGAGTTTTCTAGAATGTCCACAAATAAAGGGGAAAAAAGGAAGAAGCACAACAGTCAAATAATAAATAACACCAAGACAGAACTTCAGAGATAGGAAAACCAAGAAACCAAAATACAATGGTGTTGGGCAGCCCCAGTGGCGCAGCGGTTTAGCGCCACCTGCAGCCCAGGGCGTGATCCTAGAGTCCCGGGATCGAGTCCCACATCAGGCTCTCTGCATGGTGCCTGCTTCTCTCTCTGCCTGTGTCTCTGTCTCTCTGTGTCTCTATGAATAAATAAATAAAGTAAAAAAAAAATACAATGATGTTGTAAAGCCTACATTACAGGGGCCTAGAGAGTATTAAGGAAGACACAATAGTCAGTGCAGGTAAGGAAACGACTGGAACTCAAGTGTCAATGCTGACCTACGAGAGCATGTGCTCAATGTGTCGCTGGACAAATGACACCTATTACATGAAGCATATACAGCATAGTCTTCAGTTTTTAAAAGAGAAAATAACACAAATATATATTCCTTTAAACATCTGGGTGCACATAAATCCCTTTTAAAGATGTACTTAAGTGTCCACATTTTTTTTTACAAGACAAGAAAAAAATGCATTTACAAATACAGTTTCATGCAACAGAGAAAGCAGGAACAAACCGGAGTAAGTTAAGAAAATAAAATTGGTAATGTAGTTTCACTTGTTTGGATGCTGGCTGACTTGGCAAACAGGTAAAAGACTTTTTTTTTTTTTTTTTTTTTTTTTAAGATTTATCCATTTAGGGATCCCTGGGTGGCGCAGCGGTTTGGCGCCTGCCTTTGGCCCAGGGCGTGATCCTGGCGAACCGGGATCGAATCCCACATCGGGCTCCCGATGCATGGAGCCTGCTTCTCCCTCTGCCTGTGTCTCTGCCTCTCTCTCTCTCTCTGTGACTATCATAAATAAATAAATAAATAAATAAATAAATAAATAAATAAATAAATAAATAAATAAATAAATAAATAGATAGATAAATAGATAAATAGATAAATAGATAGATAGATAGATTTATCCATTTATTTATTCATGACAGACACAGAGAGAGAGAGGCAGAGACACAGGAGGAGGGAGAAGCAGACTCCACGCCAGGAGCCCAACGCGGGACTGGATCCTGGGACCCCAGGATCGCACCCTGGGCCAAAGGCAAGTGCCAAACCACTGAGCCACCCAGGGATCCCCACGTAAAAGACTTTTAAAGAAATGTAAGCACCTATAAAAAGAAATAAGGAATCTCTAGAGAGCCAAGGATAGAAGACACTTAGGAAAAAGAAGAGAAGAATAGGAAATGGTAAAGAAGACCAAAAAAGAAGGTTAAGGACAAATATTTGAGGAGCTACAGCCATCAGACCAGACCTTACAGCATTCTGATTCTACAAGATAGACCCTGTGGTCATATAATTTGTGTCACTTAACTATGTTTACTCTCTCAAATTAATCTGTATTTTAAATGTACAGAGGGATCTTACTAACTAAACATCTTCAACTTTACCTTTACTGTAATTCAAACTTTTAAAAATTCAGTTTGACACATGAAATACTTGTAACTTTATCCTCTCCCCAACTTGAGTACCTGACCTTGCTTAGTATAGACATATGCTTTTTAGCATTAAACACAATTCTACTACAACTCTAAAATATATCATATTTTTCTAACAATACATCATTACAAAAGTTAAAATTTAGTCTACGTTCATTCACTTTATTTAAGAAGTGAGATCTCGTACCTTTTCACCATCTTGCTTTTCCAGGCATGGCTGGGCTTCTGGTGCAGGCCGAGCATCCTTATCACTACTTTCATCCTCAAATTCAATCACACTTTGTTCAGGTTCTTCTTCCAGGAATTCTTCTGAGCTCTCTGATGTGTGTGCAGTAGATTCCAATCTAGAAAAGAAAACTACTCTTACTTGTTTTATTAAGGATGAATAAAGTAACACTTTAGAGAATCAACCAAATGTTCTGTAGTCAACAACTAACCAATCTAACAGGTCCAAAACCAATCTCCTCCTCTCACAAACTTGTCCTCTTTCCTACCTTGTTCTCCAGTCTGAGTAGTAACACCACCATGCCCTCAATCACGTAAGCTAGATTCTTCTTTTACTCTATCCATACCTCATTGGCTCTCATTCTATTAAATGAACACACATCCCAATTTACATGAAGACATTCGACTTCATAATTTTGTCCCAGCTTTGGCACAATCATTAATAATGCCCCTTTCATTCTCAAAGATATCAGTTTGGACAATAAATGATATAGTTTTGTTCTACCTCCAAAATGCCTTTCAAACATATCCCTAATTTTCTGTTCCCATTTTCATGGCCCTCCCTCAGGCCCCAATTCTCTCTGGACCACCATAACTTTGTTCCAACTCATCTCTATACCTGCAGTATGTACATTCTTTAGTAAAGCTGTCAGAGTTCTGTTTATAATACACCCATATCTACCTGTGACAGTCCGGCTCAGAAAATTCTTTGGTTCTCTATGGCTTAAGGGAAAAGGGTACCTTCTTACAAAGCCTAACATGACTAGACCCTCATATATATATGTATCTTTATCTATCAGTCGATTGATAGACATATTTTTTTAAGATTTTATCCATCTATTTATCCATAAGAGACAGAGAGAGTGGAGAGAGAGAGAGAGAGAGAGAGAGAGGCAGAGAGGCAGAGGGAGAAGCAGGCCTGACACAGGACTTGATCCCCGGACCGGGATCATACCCTGGGCCAAAGGCAGATGCTCAACTGCTGAGTTGAGGGAATCCAGGGGTCTCTAGTTATGTATTTTTTTAACACCTGAAACATCTTGTTTCTTTGAATTAAGAATCTAGGTGTGGTTTAGCTGAGTATCTCTGGCTCAAGACCTCATAGAGTTGCAATCAAGCTGCCTATTGGGGATGCAGTCTCATCTGAAGGCCTGACTGGAAGTGTTCCCCCCTCCAATCACCCCGTCCAAGCTCTCACTCATGCAGTTGTTGGCAGCATTCAGTTCTTCATGCAGGCTAATAGACTGAGGGCCTAATTCCTTGGGGACTCTTGACACATGGTACCTCCTCATAGTGCTGCTCACAGTATGGCTACTTGCTTCCCCTGCATGAGTTATTTTGCTGTGCCACACCCACCAGGCAAAGGAGGTCTTCTTGCTCGTTGTATCACCAAGTACTTCAAGGAGTCATTCATGCTGCTACAGTACCTAATGGCCTGGGACCCAAACTCTCATATTTTTACTTCCTACTAGATGGTAACATTTACATTATAAATCAGTTATCCTTATTAATACTCCTCTTAGCTTTTTGCCTTTGCTCATGCTATTCCTGTAGTCTAGATCTGCATGGTGCAAAGCAGTAGCCACAACACATGTCATGATTTACATTAATTAAATAAAATGAAATTTAAAATTCAGTTCCTAAGTTGCACTGGCCACACTTTAAGTGCTCAATGGGCATACTAGGTAGGGCCATTTTGGACCAGGCAGATAAAGCACATTTTCATCATCACATTAAGTTCTCTGGACAATTCTGTTATACATCAGAAGTCAACAATCTTTTCTTTTAGGTTTTATGGGCTACATGGTCTCTGAACAACTACTCAGCTTTGCCACTGTAATGCAAAAGCAAACATTCAAACATGTAAACGAATGAACATGGAAGTGTTACATTAAAGTCTTATTTATAACAATAGGTAGTGGGTCAGATTTGATCTACAGACCATAGTTTGTGGACCCTTAGCCTAGAACATCTCTCTCAACTATGCTCATCGAGTTTCAAATTATCTTTCAAGCCCTGGTCCGAATGCCCAATCTCTCTATCCCCTCAATTAGATTCAGTCAAATCTCTCCTCTGCATCTACACTGTTTTGTACCATCACAAGCCACCGTATATATTGAATTAGAAACCACCATGCAGCAAATTTTTCAAGAGCAAAGAGGAAATTTTGTTCTTCCTAACAGGTGAGTAAGGAGTCAACCATTTAGTTTTACTGTCACTGTTCTATTTAGGAAAAACAAAATTCCAAAATAATTCTGGGATGTTCAAGAGAAAATGCACTGTGAAATTCCCTTCTAAAAAGGGTATTACATTGAAATGTTACACAGTAAGAAAACTATGCTTATCTAACCTCTTATCTTTTCACAAATTACTAGATTTAAATATTTAGTTATATTTGCCTTTGGGCAGCCCTGGTGGCTTAGCGGTTTAGCGTTGCCTTCAGCCCAAAGCGTGATCCTGGAGACCCAGGATAGAGTTCCATGTCAGGCCCCCTGCGTGGAGCCTGCTTCTCTCTCTGCCTCTGTGTGTGTGTGTGTGTGTGTGTGTGTGTGTCTAATAAATAAATAAAAGCTTAAAAAAAAAACAATAGTTATATTTGCCTTTAACATGAATTTCCCACTAATATAAAACATTTACATAATTACTCAATCATTCAAATTTAAAATTTACATAATGAAATTAGCATAGCAACAGAATCTTCTACTTGAGTAAAATAATTTCACAAATAAAATGGCAAACCTATGAATGGTTTAAGTCCGGAACAGATGGTAGGACTATAAGCATAAAAAAGTCTAGTTTTACAGTAGAATTTGAAATCTTGCTTTCTTTAGATTCCAAGGAAGATAGAGGATAAAGGTTTTTTGACCCAAATGTTCTGTTGATGCACCTGGCTATTAAGTTCCTAGAGGAGATGACTGAACCACTTACAGTTATTGCTAATTTGTGTCATAGCCAATAACCCAGTAAATGAATCAGTTATAAAATAAAACTTAGGGTTTTTAAAAAACTGACTAAACTTTAGCATTTTTTTTCAAAGACTTTATTTATTCATGAGAGACAGACAGAGAGAGAGAGAGAGAGAGAGAGAGAGGCAGAGACACAGGCAGAGGGAGAAGCAGGCTCATGCAGGGAGCCTGAGGCGGAACTCAATCCTGGGACTCCAGGATCACACCGCCCTGGGCCGAAGGCAGGCACTAAACCACTGAGCCACCCACGGATCCCCAAACCTCAGGATAATCACTAGAATATTCTCTTGGATTTTCAGACATGAGAGATTAAATCGTGGATTTATTTTACTCTCTTACTAGCAACTTCTCCCCATAATATGTCAAAGTGAGTCCAATCAGTAATCCTACCGAAGAATTGAAATACAAACTTTTACACGAAGGTGATTTGCTACACAAACAATATAATAATAGCCTCCACCTTAAATACTAAATACTAATAATATGAAAATAAGAAGGGGCGCTTGGGTGGCTCAGGCAGTTAAGCGTCTGCCTTCAGCTCAGGTCATGATTTCAGGGTCCTGGGATTGAGCCCTGCGTGGGGCTCCATGCTCAGTGAGGATTCTGCTTCTCCCTCTCCGTCTGCCCCTGCCCCTTCTTCTGCTTGTGCTATGTCTCTCTCTCTCTCTCAATTAAATAAATAAAACCTTTAAAGAATATGAAAATAAGAATAACAAAATAATGAGAATAAAATAAATAACTTTACTTGTTTATTGAAGCTGTAGGTAAAGCCTGGAGCATCTTTTCATCTTCTCCCTGAGAACTACTAAATTCAGAATCCTGAAACCTCTTCCCAATCTTTGGCCGCTTTAGATGACTACTTCGAGTACGAGTGGAAACTGGTGTCTTATCTTGACCTGAGAAAAAAACAGCAAAACTATAATTAATTCTGTATGTCCTGAAAGGATTACCTGTTACAATACACAGAAATGTAAGAACTATGCTAGCTTACATATATTCCTACAATTACACGTCTTTCTCTCACTTATATCAGGCCATGAAACAATGTCTTTTTTCAGAATTATGAAATAACTTTGTGTTTTCATTGCTCACATTTCCATATTGCCCTGAGCTCTGCAATGTATATTTTCATCTTCATTTATATTCCCTCCCCGCAGTAATCTTGGGAAATAAACAAGGAAGACATCACTCTCCCTATTTTACAGATAACAAAATGAGGAAGAGAGAGGTATGATAGCTTACTTTGTTCACACGGCAAGACCAGTGGCAGTAGTAGCATTATAACTCCCCTCTAGATCTTAGAGCAGGATAAGTCTTCACTTAGTCTAAGGGACATCGCCCAACTCTAAATTCTAAGCGTCTCAAATACTGGTAGATTAGCTGAGTTTCTTACCTTCAGAAGTGCTTGCAAAGGCATCTTTTAGAGAGTCAATCTAAAATAGAAATACAGATTAAAACCAGAAGTTTTAGAACATTTTTTCTCCCTGTGAATCTACTTAAGTCGATGTCAAAGACAGTCTTGTGAAACATTTTTCAAATAGTACTTTTTGTATTCACTACTCATCAATTAAGGAAACTTAAGAAATTAAAAGGCTATGTTACAGCCTGTTTATCTTGAGGCTGAGCCCTCACCAAGCCATCTAATATGTTACCGTGTGACTCACTGGAGGTTCCTAGTGTCCCATCCTCAGCTACTCTCCTCTTCTCTGTCCATATGCTCTCCCTGTGTAATTTTATCTACTACACCTTTACTTCAACATCTATTTGCTGACAAATCCAGATATACCATTTAATCTCCCCAACTTCTTTCTTGATTTCCAAAGCTCTTTTTCCAATGAAATGTGGATGCTCCATCCAATTTCACAACCAACCTGTTTCAAGCTGAACTCTTATCTATTCCCAATATTATTCCTATCTTAGTTAATGGCAATGACCATTCAGCCATTCTAGCCAAAAACCTGTGAGTCAGTAATGACTTCTTCTTAACCTGCACTCAGTGAACCTCAAAGCCTCTCAATTCTAACTCCGGAAAAAATCTCTCAACACTGCCCCCTCCTTTGTATTACTAATGCTTTAGTCCAGGCCTTTATCATCTTTAATGTGAATTATCCCAAGAGCCTCATCTCTGGTATCCCTCACTCCAATCACATGCTGTGTAATCTGCAACCTGATGACAGAGATGCTTCCAAATCACAAACTGTACTACTCTTTGCTTTAAAAAAAACAAAACCTGGGGCAGCCTGGGTGGCTCGGTGGTTTAGCGCCTGCCTTCGGCCCAGGGCGTGATCCTGGAGACCCGGGATTGAGTCCCACGTCGGGCTCCCTGCATGGAGCCTGCTTCTCCCTCTGACTGTCTCTTTCTCTCTCTCTGTGTGTGTCTCTCATGAATAAATAAATAAAATCTTTTAAGAAAAAAAAAACCTTTAAAAGTTTATCATTGCCTAGAATACAGACTCTCAACCTCTTCAAAACCAAATACCTTTTACATACCAAACGTTCCATTTTCTATCACACCTGTTTTGGTGGTTTTTTCCCCACATGCTAGACTCTGGAATACCCTAACCTTTGTTATGTAACTCATAAATGCCCTATGAAAGTCAGCTTGGTTGCTACTTCACCTATTCCAATCCTTGGATAGAGTTATGCATACTCTGCTATGTACCTTCAATCGCTTGCTACGTGCTCTATTAAGGCAACTGTAATTCTGTAGTCTTTTCGGTTTCCAATAATGGACTATCTACTTCTCCCAGGCTTGTAAGAACCATATCTTTGCATATTCAGTGCTTGCCACAGTATCTACTTTATTACATAAACCACAATTCATTCATTCATCACATACTTAATGTCACCCTGCCATATAGTAGGCACAGAGACTTTAAGAAGGTCTACTGACAGGACACAAACAAGGATAAACTGTGACAGGTAAGACAAAAATCCTATCTTCAATAAGTCTGTAGTTCAACTAGAAGGTTAACACACAAATAAAAATTTTAAAAAGTTTACAAAGAGCATAAAACAAGTGCATGTAATGTTCTATGCCACAAAACAAGAAAAAGCAAGTAGAAATACCACCATCACCTAAAGAAGAAATTATGTAGTGATTAATTCACAGTCAAAACATCAAGTTGAAAAAAAAAATCAAGCTGTACACCTTAAATATATACAATTTTTGTCAATTATATACCTCAACAAAGCTAAAATAAAAGTTGTTAAAATAAGCAAACAAGACCACTTCCCCATTTGTTTAGCAATAGAGAGATAAAATAGTTTAATGTGAGAAATATTTTCCTTGAATTAAAATCTTAAAGTAATCTGAAGACTATGAATTTCTAAAACAAAAGAAAGTTGAATTTATGCTGCCAACCTTATGACCTTTACCCAACCATTTAAAATTATTTGGCTTATTATTAAGGTAAGTTATTGCTCTCACCACATATATAGGAAGAGGTCTTTTTCTACGTTCCCTGATATTATGATGTCTAACCAATGCTGAATAAATCTGAATATATCTGAACAATTTGGACCATATATAATCAAACGCAGGCTTATCATTTAATTTCAATTTCCAAATGTAGAAAAAATAAAAACAAAAAATCTAACTCCTTATGTAATCGTGTGATTTATGTTATCCTTAAAAATGTTTCAAAAAAGTTGAGTCAACACTCATGCTAATTACAGAAGGAATAAGAGACACAAATAATTCCCCAAAGCACTTGTCCCTGGAAAGGTTTACCTAGTACTTTCAAAATGAATTATATTCTACAAAGACTTAGCAAATAGACTCAAACTTCCCACAGTAACTTCATAACCTTTGACCTACTACTAATTTCACTCCTAGAAATTTATCAATGCAAGAAAAGAATTACATAGGCAAAAAGATGTATGTATAAATGTGTTCACTGCTGGGTCACTTACATACGCAAAAACCTTAATATGTCAAAGAAATAAACAATGGAATTTACAAACAATAGACAATAGTATGCTGCTACTTAATCATGTTTTAAAACAATAATACCATGGAAAATTCTTATAATATCATGTTAATGGAGGAAAAACAAGCATGACAGAAAACAAAAATATATGCACATGTTTTATAACATATATTAAATACAAACACAAAAATGTTAACAGTTGCTGTATTTACGTTAGTGGGATTACAGATTTTTATTTTCTTTTATATTATTTTGTGAAATTCCATTTTTTTTTCCAAGAAAATAAAGTCCTTAGTAAGCAATTAACAGGGGATACCAAGAAAACTAACACAGTAAAAATTTTAAAATTATGTAACTTTGATGAATGAACTGTAAGATTTACAAATTAAGTATCAGCTGAATCTAAAGAAATAGAAAAATTATTATTTCCTACAATAAACGTACAGTGTACCTACAGTTAGCTGCATCTCACTAGACTGATTGTCTTCAGTTTCTGCTTCATATTCTGGAACAGATGCAAGACCATATTCTCCAGACACAGATCTTTTAGCTTCATTTTGAGAAACTGCTGTGTATAGAAGAATTTTAAAAAATTATAAGCCAATCAGTATTTCATTTTAATTATAACATGGTTTGTACTGATTTTCACAAAAGCCCTGAATAGCATCCTGAACAGAAGAGTGTTAAAAATCTAGGTGTGAAATAAAATCTCCTTCACCAGTATCTTATAATGAAACCCCGTAATTATAAAAGTACTAGTTATCTGTATTTAGTGAGTTTGAGGAAAGATGCATGAGACCAGGAACAACTCTTTGATTCCCTGATGCCTATTCTATGCTGATTCAGTATCTGTTTCCTTTTCACCCACCAATTCCTACCGAAATGTTAGATTCGGCTGGGCTACTATAATTCTAGGTCTTCTTCTTATTAGTGACTCATGTTAATACACAACAAAAATTCAAACTTTAAAAAAGAATGTCTGTTACTATAGAGGTCACACTACAATATAACAACTCTGGGCTAAGTGACAGAAACATTAAAAGGCACCGCTCTTTAAGCTGGACATGTGTTCAATCTTGAAACCTGTAATTCTTACCTGTAATTTTAAGTGTTTCTCTCTGCAATGCTCTGGTGACTGGTATTCGCTGGTACCAGTGTCCAACACCTTCAACCTCCCAAAGGAGTTCATGGTCTCCTGGATACTTTTCAAAGTACTGCTTGCAAGCTGAAAAATACATTTACAATTTTCTAGAAATCCCAAATATCAAATTTTTTGGAAAACAGAAAGAAGACAGAAAGTTAGCTGCCCAACTCACTTAATGGGACTAGCATAACACCAATGCAACTCAATTACAGTCTCATTTATGAAAATTTTAATATGACCAAACAATAAAAATCCTAATAGAAGATGTGCTTTACACCTTTAAAAATTACCAAATATTACTGAGGGACGTAAAATTAGAATAAAACGATTATTAGATTCAATGAGTATAAAACTACCCATTCTCACCAATTAATTGGCAATTCCCAACAAGTTTGTTTTGTAAGAGAACTTGTCAAAACTTGATCCCAAATTCAAAATGAAAGAATAAAGGGTTAAGAAAGGACATGTAAGAAAAGGAAAAAGAAAAATTAAGGGGAAAAAAAAATCCCAACAGGAAAGCAGCACTTATACACTAAAAACCTGGCAAACAACAGAGGAGGCATTATATCTCGGGGTAGGGGGTAAACTATCAAAACCATAATGCTAGAACAAAAATCCATATACAAGAAAATAAAGTCAGGGCAGCCCCGGTGGCGCAGCAGTTTGGCGCCGCCTGCAGCCTGGGGTGTGATCCTGGAGACCTGGGATCGAGTCCCACATCGGGCTCCCTGCATGGAGCCTGCTTCTCCCTCTCCCTCTGCCTGTGTCTCTGCCTCTCTCTCTGTGTCTATGAATAAATAAATAAAATCTTAAAAAAAAAAAAAAAGAAAAGAAAGTCAGATCCTGACCTCATATCAATACCATTCATAAAATTAAATTCTAGATGGATTCCAAAACCTACTAAGAAAAGCAAATAAGATAATATCTCCTGGACATAAGGGTGCTAGATCACTTCTCATGAAGAAAGATACAAAAATCACCTTCCATAATGAAATATTATGATAAACCTGTTAAAGTTTAAAACTTTCCATCAGGAACTGTGCAAGAGAACTTTCTTTAAAAAAAGTTCTAAAATTGAATTAGAAAGACAAAACAATCCCCAAAACAAGCTGGCAGATACTATAAAAAAAAAGAAATTTACACGTAATGAAACTTGAAAGATCACTTAACAAAGGTAAAGATGGCAAACCTCACTAGCTGCCAAGGAAATGCAAGATGAAACAACTAGATACCTTTTCACAAACACCCAATAACCCAAGCATCCAAAGAATAAAGAAAATGGAAACTCCCACATTCTTCTGGTGTGAGAATAATTATGCAAAGACACAATGTATGCTCCAATTCTACTGCTGGGTATATACCCTAATGATTTATACATACGCATGAGATGACTTCTATAATATTCATTACAGGGCCGTTTTTAAACAGGGGTGAGGAGTTCAACCTAAGAGCCCATCATTAAGAAATACATAAATTAACTTTAAAAGTATATAAAATACCACACAGCCGTTACAACAGATTTCAGCTATATATCAATAATGAAAAATCTTTAAAAAAGATCAGTAAAAACACTAGTAAATGCAAAAATGTCATTTATATAAAGTTTAAAAACACATTAAACACAGGCAGCCCAGGTGGCTCAGCAGTTTAGCACCACCTTCGCCCCAGGACCTCATCCTGGAGTCCCAGCATGGAGCCTGCTTCTCCCTCTGCTGGGGTTTCTGCCTCTCTGTCTCTCATGAATAAATAAATTTAAAAATCTTAAAAAAAAAAAAAAAAAAAAAAAAAACACATGCAGCCTCTGTGGAAAATAGTTTGGTAATTCTTCAAAAAGTTAAAACACGGGATACCTGGGTGGCGCAGCGGTTTGGCGCCTGCCTTTGGCCCAGGGCGCGATCCTGGAGACCCGGGATCGAATCCCACATCAGGCTCCCAGTGCATGGACCCTGCTTCTCCCTCTGCCTATGTCTCTGCTTCTCTCTGTCTCTCTCTCTCTCTGTGTGACTATCATTAAAAAAAAAAAAAAAAGTTAAAATACAGGGGCACCTGGGTGGCTCAGTGATTGAGCATCTGCCTTGGGCTCAGGTCGTAACCCCGGGGCCCCGGGATCAAGTCCCATATCCGGTTCCCCACAGAGAGCCTGCTTCTCCCTCTGCCTGTGTCTCTGCCTGCCTGTGTGTGTCTCTCATGAATAAATAAATATTTTTTAAAAAATGTTAAAACACAGAATTACCATATAACTTAGCAATTCTATTCTCAGCTATATATCCAAAAGAACAGAAAGCAGAGACTCAAACAGTTATCTGTATGTCCACAGCAGCATTTTCCACAGTAGCCAAAAGGTAGAAACAACCAACAGTCTGTCAAAAGATGAATGAATGAAATGTGACATATACACAGAGTAAAAATATACTCAGCCATATAGAGGAATGAAAATTTTTTAAAGGTTTATTTGAGAGAGAAGAGAGCACACGCGTGCGCGTGCACTTAAGCAGGGGGTGGGGGAGAGGGAGAGAGAATTCTCAAGCCCACTTCCCACTGAGCATGGATCCAGACATAGTGCTTGATCCCAGGGCCCTGAGATCATGACTGAAGCCAAAATCAACCGTGGGGTGCCTGGGTGGCAGAGTCAGCTGAGTGTCTGACTCTTGGTTCTGGCTTAGGTCCTGGTCTCAGAGGTGAGATTAAGCCCCACGTAAGGCTCCGTGCTCAGGGCAGTCAGCTTGTGTTTCTTTCTCCCCTTCGCTCTGCTCCTTCCTTTCTATGCATGAGCTCTCTCACTGTCTCTCAAATAAATCTTAAAAAATAAAAAAAAATTTAAAAAAAAATCAACCACTTAACCACCTGAGTCACTCAGGCACACCAGGAAAATTTTGATATATGCTATAACATGGATGGTCCTTAAATACTATGCTAGGTGCAGTAAGACACACATAGAAAAACCAATACTATATGATTCCACTTCTATGAGGTACCTAGAATAGGCAAATAAAGACAGAGAGTGAATGTGACTAATGCCACTGAACTGCACATCTACAAATAGTTTAAATGATAAATATTATATATATTATAGCCCCCAAAAAACTTAAAAATTAAAAAAATAATAAAGCAAACTAGGTACACCTGGCTGGCTCAGTCAGTAGAGCATACAACTCCTGATCTTGGGGTCATGTGTCTGAGCCCCCCACTGGGTGTAGAGATTACTTAAAGATAAAATCTTTAAAAATAGAACTCCTCAGGGTGCCTGGGTAGCTCAGTCTTCAGCTCAGGTGGGTCCTGGGATCGAGCCCCATATGTTGGGCTTCCTGCTCAGGGGAGACTCTGCTTCCCCCTCTGCCCCTCCCCCTGCTCATGCTTTCCTTCTCTTTATTTATTAAATAAATAAAATATTTTTAAAAAAGAATTTTATTGTAAGAGTGTCCTAATGCTGTATGTAGAATACTCAAAACTTTTTAAGGAACAGCTAATACTGAGGCTCCTGGGTGGCTCAGCGGTTAAGCATCTGCCTTTGGCTCAGGACATGATCCTGGGGTTCCGGGATCAAGTCCTGCATCGGGCTCCCTGCATGGAGCCTGCTTCTCCTTCTGCCTGTTTCTCTGCCTCTCTCTCTCTGTCTCTCAGGAATAAATAAATAAAATCTTAAGAAAAAAAAAGAATAGTTAATGCTGCTTAGCTGATAAAATGTTCTTTCTTGTGGGCTAGACAAATCTGGATTGGGAGCTTCAACTCTAGTCACTTTTTCTAAAATGCTTCTTTTGGACCTCATACTAATTATGTAAGGCATTCTCTCCTATTTTAGTCATTAAATTCAGACAACTCAATGTGGCCTACTGTGCTTCTTTTCTCCAGCTTCTTCCTTTAGGAAAAAAAAAAAAAAAAGATTTTATTCATTTATTTGACAGAGACAGAGAACAAGCAGAGGGAGGGGCAGGCAGTGAAAGTGAAGCAAGCCTCTGGCCAAGCAGGAGCCCAATGCAGGGCTCGATCCCAGAATCCTGGGATCACGACCTGAGAAGGCAGACACGACCTGAGAAGGCAGACACGTAACTGAACGAGCCACCCAGGCACCCCTCAACTTCTCCTTTTATAGGTATGGAAACTAAAACTAAAAAACATGAGAAACCTGTTTTATATATTTATACATACAGGGGGAAAAAATGAGAGAATAGTATCCTAATGTCAATGTCTCTATTGACCAGAGTAACAATTATTAAAGTTTTGCCATATTGTTTTCATTTAGGGAGAATTAAATAAAACCTTGTAGATACTGTTGATGTTCCCTTTGGACCCCTCCCTAATCCCATTCGCCTTTCTCCTTTTCTCCCCAGAGATAACTGTGTTCCTGAAGTTGGTGTATATCCTTCCTGTCTACAATTTCAAACTCAGACCTATGTCCATAAACTCTGTAAAGTGCTATTTAGTTTTTTTTTTCTTTCAGCCATGTGCCCAGGATAGTTCTATTTTTAATTTTTTGAGGAAACTCCATATGGTTTTACACAGTGTCTGCACTAGTTTGCACTGCCACAAACAGTGCAAGTGGGTTGCTTTTTCTCCACACCCTTGCCAACACTTATTTCTTGAGTTTTTTATTTTAGCGATTCTGACAGGTATAAGGTGGTTATCTCATTGTAGTTTTTTTTTTTTTTTTTAAGATTTTATTTATTTGGGGATCCCTGGGTGGCTCAGCGGTTTGGCACCTGCCTTTAGCCCAGGGCACTATCCTGGTGTCCCGGGATCGAGTCCCACGTTGGGCTCCTGGCATGGAGCCTGCTTCTCCCTCTTCCTGTATCTCTGCCTCTCTCTATGTCTATCATAAATAAATAAATCTTAAAAAAAAAAAGATTTTATTTATTTATTCATGAAAACCACAGAGAGATAAGGTCATCAAAGAATAGTAGACATCTAGCAGCCTCAAGGAACTACTAATTAAGTTGAAAGAGAAAACCAAATGTAAATCCAAGTTCTTCAAATATAATAAGCATTGTACAAAACAGGAAGAGCAAGAAACAGAAAATGGAGATCCCACATAGTCTAAAATTTTCTATTTTCAGTATATTCCTTTATTTTCACACTTCAAAGAGTGTTATTCACAAAATGATACAAGTGAGATCAATAAAACATTATCAGGCAATATCCTACCTACACTAAAGGATAAATGGCATTAAAACTCACTTAGATTTTATCCAAAAATAGACATGCACCTGTAATTCATTTGGTATTCAACTTATCATTAGAATTAGAAAAGAGGTGTTTTTTTTTAAATTTTATTTATTTATTTGAGAGACAGCAGAAGCAGTGGGGAGGGGCAGAGAGAGAAACAGATTCCCCACTGAGCAGGAGGCCCGACTGACGTGGGGCTCAATCCCAGGACTCTGAGATCATGACCTGATCAAAGGCAGCTGCCCAATGGAGCCACTCAGGCACCCAGAAGAGTAAGTAATCAGAGATTCTGCCTATAGTGAGTGTGTTTACATTCCTTCCCAAATTCAATAAAGCCATAATTAGACTTTAAGGAAAAGGTCATTTTCAGATAATCCAGCTGTACACAGGGGTCATTCCATTCTCATGTAGGGGTCTCCCCAGCAATTACGATTCAAGATTGACATGCCATGCCCGTTCTTGTCTTCTGGATTTCTGATATTAAAATGAGGGAGCAAACTTGAACAAAAATATATTTTCAGTGGAAATAAACATCTCCAATTAGAATAAAATCAATGGTAAATTATATTTTATGAAATATACTATATATACATATACATACAATAGATACAATACACATATTTTATGAAATATTAGATACTGGTTCTGGTTGTTGCACAGCTATGAATATAGTAAAAACCGCTGAATTATACCCTTTAATAGAGTGAATTTTATGGCATGTGAATTATATTTCAACTTTTTAAAAAAACCACCACACCTCCAAAAAGCCATATACATGAGATAAGGACACATTTGCAAAATGAAGCCCTACAGACCCAAAGAATTCAAATTTAGTTAACAATGACATATGCACATTTACAATATTCTGCAGAAACAACTCAGGAGTGACGCGGAGACAAGTTTAATAAATGTTTTAACTTAATTTACCTGTGTACATGAGAGAGGAGAGAGGATACCGCAAGCCAAGTGCATCTTCTGTAAAGGAATCAACAAAGTCCTCCAGCATATGAAGTCCAAAATCTTTGCCTCGATATTTCTTTCTTACAAACATTGTATCAAGAACTGGCAGTTGGTAGCTTTGGGTAAGAAATGAGGCACATATGCTTCCTGCAGTCATAAGAACAGAAACCCAACAATTTTTCACATTAAAAAGGCCATATATGTATCTATGTTTAAATAACGTGAGTTAAAATTTTTTTTCGTGAGTTAAAATTTTTAGTTAAAAAAACTAAAAATGGTTAGTTTTCCTACATCAAGAGTGTTAAAGAAATGTACCAATTTCATAACAGAAAATACTTCCCAGGTGCTATTACATCACAATGTATACATGTGATAATGAGAAAAGCAATGTATTTTATGTTTATCAACAGTATCATCTAATACAAATCACTATTACCATATTATGAACTATATACTAGAATATGTATGCATCACTGCCTACAGACTTGTACAACTTTAAAACTCATCAACTATTACGTTTTAAAACTGGAAGAGTATCTGATGACTGTATATAGTATATAATGCAAGAAGTATCTCATTACAACTTTAGTACCTGAACATCCATCTTCTCCCTTTTTACTAGAGAGTACACTTTCATTTTTATCTACTCCATGATGGCAAAGAAATGTATCGGTTCTCCAGATTTTTAAGGACTACAGATCAGGACTAAATGGAAACAAACATGTGTCTTAGAAATGGCTAAGTCAGCAATCTTTTTGCTGGGAATGTATTTTTTAAAATATCCTGTACACTTAAGGTTAAACAGAAGAAATAATGTAACTAAATATGTCTATTACACAGCTATAGTGATTTGTCTTTTTAAGAACACCTGATTTGTGTTCTGACCCTCCAATTAGATGTGTTAGCTTCTTTAACACATTTTTAAGACAGTATATAGGTTGTAGACATCATGGTGGGGCATCCCTCTCTCTATTAATTTGAGAGATAGTTCATAATTATCAGTCAATATTCTATTCTTTTTATGCCTCAAATTTAAAAAACCTATTAAAACAAATTTAAAAACCTATTAAACCTATTAAAACAAATTTAAAAAACCTGTCCTCAGATCATTCATATGATTTCAGGTAATTCTGATAATGTAGTTTAAGGAAGACATAAAATTTCAGGTAACAAACATCTCACAAATTGACTTTCACCAATCATATCATTTGATGAATTTGTCAATATGACAAGATCTTTTTTAATTGAACCAAAATAATTTGAATTGTTTTTGATTAAATTGGAGAATTTCAGCAACTTTCAGCAATAGTTTCCAAGACCATCAATTAATTTAAGCTTAGAACAGGTAATTCTTATTGCTTAGATCCTAACTGGTGACATTCAGTTAAAAGGTTTTATATAATGGATATAGTTACCAATGCTATATACTTGAAATTTGATTTTAAAAAAGTAGATAATGTTATCACTACAAAAATCGAGAGAAAGAGAGAGAGAGAGAAAATGGTAACTATGTGCAACAGTATCTGTCAATTAGCTTGATTTTGGTGAGTATTTCACAATGTATACACATATCAAATCACCAAGTTGTACACCCTAAATATGTATCACTTTTGTCAATTTTACTCAATAAAACTGAAATATATAAACAAATTACTTGTAAGAGTCTAACAGTTTCACCAACATGTTACTATGACCCTAATTATTTTTTAATGCCTTGAAATCAGAGTTCCTTTCATAACTGCTAGTAGTGATGACAAAAATCAAGAGACACTACTTTATAAGCACTAATAGTTCAAAGGACAAAGCAAAAATGAGAAGTGCTGTCACTTCTCAATATAGAGTCTGATGATTTACTATGGTTGTTTTACTATTGTACACACTTCAGGTTCCTTACAAAAGTATAGTAATTATATGAAGGACATTTTCCACAAATTGATTATTTTTGTTTTCACACAAGCATTTCTTCTAACAGAGAAGAGGTAAATTCCAGAGTCTTATATTGTTAAAATGGTAAATTTATGGAACTAGTAGTATTCATAAGATTTAAAGTTCTTCTATTATTCATTTGTCATGTACATATTCATTGCAAAAAATGATGCTGATTCTCTTCCTTTACTTAAAAAGTTATATACACTTACCCTTGAACAACTTGGGAATTGGGGGCACTGACCCCCTGAGCAGCTGAAAATCCACATATAACTTCTGACTCCACAAAAACTTAACTACTAATAGCCTACTATTGACTGGAAGACTTACTGATACCAAACAACACATTTTTTTGTTGTTTATGTATCATATACTGTTATTCTCATCATACAGTAGGCTAGAGAAAATAAAATGTTATTTAAAAAGTCATAAGAGGTTTACCCGGGAAGGCTCAGTCATTTAAGCATCCTACTCTTGGTTTCAGCTCAGGTCATGATCTCAGGATCCTGGGATCAAGCCCTGCGTCAGCCTCCACACTCTGAGCTTGTCCCTTTTCCACCTCCTTTGCTCCTCCCCTGATTCATGCTCTAATAAATATATAAAATCTTTTTTAAAAATTTTGGAAAAGCAAGCCATAAGAAAAAATATGTTTAAAGTACTATACTATATTTATTGGAAAATAAAACCCACATATAGTAGACCCATGGAGTTCAAACCTGTGTTGTGCAAGGGGCAACTATACTTTGTAAATGTTCTATCAGGGGATCCCTGGGTGGCTCAGCAGTTGAGCGCCCGCCTTTGGCCCAGGGCATGATCCTGAAGACCCAGGATAGAGTCCCATGTCAGACTCCCACATGGAGCCTGCTTCTCCCTCTGCCTGTGTCTCTGCCTCTGTCTCTCATGAATAAATAAATGAAATCTTAAAAAAAAAAAAAAAGAATGGAAAAGCCCATATAAATGTAACAAAAATCACACGATTAGTTGAATAGAGAAAAAACATTTGACAAAATCCAACACCTTTCATGATAAAAATTCTCAATGTCCTAAACCTGAATAAAGGGACCTACAAAAAACCCACAGCTAACAGCACACTTAATGGTGAAAGACTGGATGATTCCTCCTAAGATCAGGAACAAAACAAAACTGTTCACTGTCACTGCTTCTATTTAACACTGTACTAGAGGTTCTAACTAGGCAAAAAAGGAGATAAAGCGCAGCAAGACTAAAAAGAAAGAAGTAAACTACATTTATCAATGACATAATTTTATACAGAGAAAATCTTAAAGAATTCACTGAAATTGTTAAAACTGATAAAAGTTCAGCAGTTCAACAAGGCTGCAGGATGCAAGATCAATATACAAAAACCAATCGTATTTCTATACACCAGCAATGAACAATTTTTTAAAAAGATTTTATTTATTTATTTGAGAGAGAAAGAGCACAAGCAAGGGAAGGGGCAGAGGGAGATGCTTAACCGATTGAGCCATTCAGGTGCCCCAGCAATGAATAATTTGGAGATGAAATTAAGGAAAACAATTCCAGGGGCAATTGAGTGGCTCAGTCAGTTGAACATCTGAATCCTGATTTTGTCTCAGGTCATGAGATCAAGCCCCACATCGGGTTCCATGTTCAGCACAGATTCTCTTTTTCCCTCCCACTCACGTGCACTCTCTCTCTCTAAAATAAATAAAATCTTTAGAAAAAAAGAAAATTCCATTTATCACAGCATTAACAAATAAAATTCTTACGGTTAAATTTAAGAAATGCAAAGCTTGTATACATACTAAAACTACAAATACTGTTCAAAGAAATTTAAGAACATCTAAATAAATGGAAAGACATCATGTTCATGAATCAGAAGATCAATATGTTCCACAAATTGACCTGAAGATTCAAAATTCTCAGCTAAATCTTTTTACAGAAATTGACTAAATTAAACACAATTTAGTCGCATTGTGATTAAATGCGAACGCCCACAAAAAGCCAAAACAATCATGAAGAAAAAGTTGGAGGACTTGTATTTACCATCTTAAAGCTTACAAAGCTCCACTAATCAAGACAGTATGGTACTGGCACAAGAATAGACACAAAAATCAATGGAGAAGAACCAAGAGTCCAGAAACAAAACCTGGTATTCATGGTTAACTGATTCTGGTAGGGGTTCCAAGGCAATTCTATGGAAAAAGAACAGTCTTTTCATTGAATAGTTCTGAGACAACATGATATTCACCTCGGCAAAAAATAAAATAAAAAAATAAAAAAGTTGGACTCCCTTCCTCATACCATATACACAGATTAACTGCCAATGAATCATCAATCTAAATGTAAGACCTAAAGCTATAAAATTCTTGGAAGGAACATAGCAGTAAACGTTTATCACCTTGGATTAAACAGAGCTTTCATACATAAATACCAAAAGCAAGAAAAAAAATTGGATTTCATCAAAATTTTAATATTCTGTGCTTCAAAGGACACCATCAAGATAGTGAGAAGACAACCCACAAAATAGGAGAAAATATTTCCAAATTATATGTCCAGTAAGAGACTTGTATCTAAAATATATAAAAAATGGGATCCCTGGGTGGCACAGCGGTTTGGCGCCTGCCTTTGGCCCAGGGCATGATCCTGGAGACCCCGGATCGAATCCCACGTCAGGCTCCCGGTGCATGGAGCCTGCTTCTCCCTCTGCCTGTGTCTCTGCCTCTCTCTCTCTCTGTGTGTGACTATAATAAATAAAAACTAAAAAATAAAATAAAATAAAATATATAAAAAATGTTTATAACTCAATAATAAAATAACAAAATCCAATCTTAGAATGGGCAACGGATTTAAATACTTATTTTTTCAAAGAAGACATACAAATGGCCAACAGGTATGTAAAAAACTGTTCAATGTCACCCATCAGTGAGGATATACAAGTCAAAGCAACAAAGGATGCCTTCAAACCTGTAAGGATGACTACTACCAAAACAAAACAAACCAAAAACCCAAAGACAACAATTGTTAGTGAGAATATGGAAAATTGGAACCCTTGTACATTGTTGATGGGAATACAAAATGGTATAGCCACTATGGAAAAACGGTTTAGAAGTTCCTCAAAAACTAAAAAATAGAACTACCATATCATCCAGCAGTCCCATTTCTGGGTATCCAAGAATTGAAATCAGGATCCCAGACCTCAGCAATCAGTGTTCACTGCAACACTATTCACAATATCCAAG